AAATCTCAATATGAGGCCAACAATGACTCGAAATCAAAGGAGCAGGAACTTCAATTGATGGAAGCCCTTCAAGTGTTGATTAAAAAAGAAGAATCGGCGATAGCCTGGGCTTAGCGTAAAGATGCACTTTGCTTTGTGAGGTTCGTGGTGGATCGTATCCCCACTCCCGTGTTGGAAAAATGTGTGAAAACCATTCGGCAAGGCGTAGTTGATCGTGAACGAAAACTCCTGAGGGCTCTCCTGGAGTTGTATCATGACATGCCGCTGCTCATGCCAAGTAAAGAATCTAACGACATAGAAAGCTATCGCAGGTTGGAAGAAGTGAGAAGATACTCCAACAAGTCAATTGAGTTAATTGAAGCAGTCAGGGGACAGAAGGACTATGCAACATTGGGGAAGTTGAAGTCATTCCAATAAGTGTCAGGCATACCAGGGATGGCGTACAATCCCTTTGTTGACGGGGAAGCCAGGGAAGCATATTTTGACTATGAGCAGGTTAGAGTACTTGATTTCTGGGTCGAGCGAGTCAAGGAAACTGGCATGTTGATGGTGGAACAACCCAAGCTGGGAATCATTTTGGAGGAACGAGTGGTCGAACCCTCGGTTCCCGAGCTGAAGGGGCAAGTGAGCTTTAATTGTGGTTCTTGGGACGGTCCCTTGAAGACCAGCTTAGTAACCATGTGGGAGCTGATGAAGCCTTCCTGGTGTCCGCATCCAAACGCCGGTTTAATCTGGGATATGACGGCAGATGTCGCATTGGATTTGGACGATTAAGCGGAGTCACACGATTTGGCCATGATACACCATCTGCTGGCCCTGAGAAAAACGAAGCAGAAGAGCGGATCATCCACGGGACCATCTGAGGGAAATCCCTCCAGTGATTGGTTGAGACAGGGCACCTGTCTAGCCTACAGTAGTGGAATGGACGGACACGTGTGTAATTTGGGGCATTGTCTGAACACGCTGATTGAGCAACATTGCCAACTAGCTCAATTGTATGGGAGGTTAAGCATGTCGGACAAAAGTGAAATGGAGTTGATTGCGGACTGTCACGGAGTGACGGAAGCTCGATCGAATCACTGGAACGCCTGGAGTGTGCCCATGTGCTAGTTAGGTCCCTAAGTATGGAAGTGTTCCCTGGAGCATTGCAGACTGAGCAGAAAACTGGAGGTTGGCGAGAGGCTCTGGAGAACGAGATGAATTTGAAAGACAGTGAGGCCTATCATAGACCTACTGGTTCAAAATATCTGGTGGGTTCGAGCTCCGCACCATATTGCAATAGCAAATACCCCACGCACATGGTGGTGATGGACGCAAGGACGCAGCAGGTGGTGGTCGACCAACTCTTCTCTGTGCCAAAATGTGTGAGGCTGGCCAGAATGTCGGAGAGGTCATATGATTTATTGACAAAGATCATTCGGGCCGTCCTGAAGAGATCTGACGGCGAGTTGCAGGACGTAGTGGGTGAAAAGTTCATGAGGTTAAGTGAGGGTAATGTGAGTGTATTCCAGAAGAAAAAGGCGAGCGGAGCGTTACCCACCGAATTCCCCACCATGGATGAAAAACACGACGTACACAGGATCATGACATAAGTGGAACCGCTGCTGGGAGCTTCAGGGTACCGGACCAGAAGGAACATCTTGATGACCCATGGGGAGTATCCTTGTCACTGCCTGGCGCAGACGTTATGGTACCCCAAACGCGGGAATCTGGTTTTAGTGTGGGACGTGGAGGAGTTGTACTCCACGGGGTTTGCCCGACCAAAATCAACCAGTGTCAATTGTAATAGTTAGTGCCATGCTGGCGGTGGGATGCTTAGAAGCTAACGCGGGCACGAGTGACCAGGAGACGGCCGTGCCGACACCTGAGCAACTAAGCAACGTGAAGATGAACAACAACTTAGATCTTTTCAGAACCACCTGCAGGATTCTGAGGATACATAAAGCCATTGAGAGGATATGGTCAAGGCAAAGGTTGATGTCTTGGTTCCGTGCAGTGATGACGTCATGGATGTATGAACGCGCGAAGCGTCATATGTCTAGGGGCACGGAAGCCTATCAATCCTTCCAGTTAGATATAGGACCGGAGCCTATAAGGGAGCATTCCTAACGCTCAAAAATGCTGTTACCACGGCGGTGAAGCGAGTAGCTGGAGCGCTTTGTGTTACTGAAGCTGAAAGGAGAGAGGTCTTACAAGCTGACCTAGAACGGAATGTGAGGCTGTTAAAGCAGGAGAGTTGGGGCACGGCCCGCCACTCCGTGGACATGCTGGACAAACCGAGGCTGTTAAAGCAGGAGAGTTGGGGCACGGCCCGCCACTCCGTGGACATGCTGGAGAAAGTCCTAGAAGACAGCGAGACAGAAGAACCAGGACAAGAAGCAATGGAGTGAAGACGAAGATGTAACACGAGATGGAGTGAGAGTGAAGAGAGAAGGAGAAAAACTTAATTGTCTTTGTGCGCTAAAACTTATACCAATCAACTAAGTTTGATTATTGAAACTGTTAAACTTCTTGTTTTGTTGTAGTTTGGTGAAACCAGACTTTGAGAGTTGGTAAATTGTTGCAATTGCGAAATGTCAATGAAAATTTTAGTTGATGCTATTTACATATATATAGAGAACATAGATGAGTTTATTTACCTAATTAAAACCGACTGAAGTTTTTATCATGTGTAAGACACGTGTTCACTGTGTGGCGACCTGGTAGGTTTGGGTAAGCTCGCTCGAAGAGGGTGAGTACCACATTACCTATTCTAGCCTTAGAGTTTCTTAGTTTTTATATGAAGGCAAACGCATAAATGATTGATTATACTTGGCGAGTGACATTAAGTTAATTTTAACGAGTGCGTGGCCGTGCCACCTCCCAAATTTTTAATCAAGCAAGAGTGAAAAAAAATTTTATGGCGAGATGACGTAAGTAGTCAGAAAAGAAATTTTATCTAGGACACTTCTCATAGTGCAAATTTTGTGAAAATGTTGAAAGGCAGTGAGATGTAGTATGATGCCATTTGTGAAACGCGGTGAGTTGAGGTGGAGTAGATAAATTTCATTTTCTAATGCGATATGTAAGGTTGATTGTAGAGAACTGGATAGCTACTTCACGATAACCCGGTTTTATGCGATCAATGAGGACATTGATGGGGACTGTCCGGTGAGTATGTGCCATTCCCCCGGATTGGCACAGCGGAACCTTCCGTCGCAGCATGAAAAAGACGTTAGAGGCCTTAGTGATCGTGTATGCTTGAAAAGGAGGCTAGAATATTCTGGATTTTTTTAATTTTCGAAAATTCGAATTGCGACGTTACATTTCTGAGAAATGCAAAAACGGCCATGTTCAGCTGGAAAAAAGAGAAAAACAACAACAACCGATTTAGTGAAAAATAGTCGAACGAGAACGAAATAAAAAACGAAGCCTCTCATTGTGACCATCACGCACGATAGGACACCTAACGGAAGTAATTAGCCAGAAAGGAGGCTTCAGTGTGGAAGAAGGAAGGAGCAGTACCCTCCCGTGCCACGAATTAGGAGTAATAACGACGTTATTACAGAAAAACCCCGGAATCGGAGGCTCGGCCCCCCAGAGACAATATATGGTGAAGGACTGTAAAGAAGGACTTCTTAGCTACTCTGATGCCATAAACCTTTGAATTAACACTGGTATAATTTGGTGTTTTAGATAATGAGTAGGCAGAAGGAGGAAAGGGTCAATCCATCTCCAATGGATTTAATATAGAACTATCACCAAAAACATATGAAAATAGGATATTCGAGCCGTGTTTTTAATAGCAATCATGTAGTCTGGGGATCCGAGACCCAGCTATGTGGTTGTATTAGCATATAAACGAAAGCTGAGTAAAAGACGTTTGACTGATTGCCTGAAAATGATAACTTTTTACTTAGCCCTAGACCGACCAGAAAATCAACTGGCTAGATCGAGACGGTGAAAAAGGAGTAGAATTTAGGTAATTGACGTCGGCAAGTCGTCAATAGGTACATTTTCTGCGCTCCGTCACTGTGTACTATTTGTGCGAGTGTTACAGTTACAAAGTAAGATAGGACTTCGATAAGGCTCGAAAGTTTGCAAACGGCAAAAATTCGTGTGCGGAAAAGACGTTCCCGAAGATTGGTGGCATGGCTTTTCTTGCCAAAAAAGTGCGGGGAGATTCTCTAGCCATTCAAATATGAATGACCTTAATATGCAGACTTTATCTTCTACTCACATTCCGTCTGTGTTAGAACCACGACACCTCTGCAGGACCGATCAGAAGCGACCAGACGGCGTGACGCTCGTTCCATGGGCCGTTTGTTAGCAGCTTTTGTTGGATGTTTCGGTGGCAGACTCCTTTACTCCAGTAGGATTAGTACCGGGTCTGTTTGTAACCCTGGTACGGCTACCGCTGAAGCGGAAGAGCAAAAATTTGACTAATGTAAAGACTTAATAGATGATTGGTATCTTTTTCAACCGCTAGCTTTTGAGATTCTGGTCGCGGCCGGCAGCATCACAGAATTTTTTTTGAGCAAGCCTTTTAAGAACCTAAGCATATGCACTGACACTGAGGAACCCAGAGTAGGCAGCTTTTCAAAACAGAGAATCATTCTGGCAATACAGGTTGCGAAGCCGCTCTTGCGTGCTCGGAACAATAAATGACTAAACAACTTTCGACGAAATATTTTATTTGTAACACATTTATTTGTTATATTATATTTTCTCGTGTCGAGTTGCGTGTTCTTATTGAAGAAACGTAACACGTACTGAAGTTAATTGTAAGGACATCAACGCATCATTTCCTTTTTTTTTATCATTACATTTCCATATCTAGAAAATTCCAAGGGTTTTGACTGGAATACGTGATGAAGGGACTCCTGACTTTAACCACGGTTATTATGATACCTTTGACCTTCTGATTACCATTAAATGGATTTAGAAAAAAAATTATAAAAATTTGACTGAAGTTGAAAGTGAAAATTAGGCTTATTTTGATTTTACGTTTTGTTTTTCAGACAATATGACAGCGTTTTTATTAAGTTTGTCTTGATAAGATGTTAAAATCAATCCCTAGGGTCGGTAGTTGTCGCATTTGTCAGCGTACTTTAAAAATATGTTCCAAGCGAAGTAAGTCTTCAGTGGCGGCACCGTTAGTGCAGCAGGTTGAAGATGTCAAACGACCCAAAGATATAAAGCTTGAGGATATTCGCAACATTGGAATATCTGCTCATATTGACAGTGGTAAAACTACTGTAACTGAACGCCTGCTTTATTATACCGGAAGGATTGATTCCATTCACGAAGTCAAAGGTAAGTCGAGTGATGCAAGTTTATGGATGCAAGTTTACTTACTTGGAAAATAACTCATCAAATTGATTACGATCTTTCCACTGAAATAGAGTGGAAAGATCGATCTTTTACACGATATTAATGATCTTTTGATCTCGCTTTTTTATATAGGGATTGATCAAAAATATAGTAAATTATAAAAAAAAAGGCCCTTCCGTTTAGGTACGGTCGTGCACAAGCTGGATAGGGCTCATACCAGCATTATATAAATTTATCAATAAACAATATTCCAGGAATTAAGTCGAGTCAGCATTTAATGCATTGTCTTTAAAGGTATTTACTTCGCCAACTTGTCCAATTTGATTTTTCCTGGTGTTTTTTGCTGCACCCCATTTTGAGTCATCATGAAAGTGCGCTATTGTAGAGGAAGGACGGCTAAGATAAATTAACATTACAACGATGCATTTAATGCTGATTTATGACTTCATTGATAAGTTGATACAGCTTGCTGATATATATATGCATTTTTATAACGCTGGTATGGCCCTATCCAGCTTGTGCACTTACCGTAACTAAACGGAAGGGTCTCGTAATTTCGTTTTTTTATCGATAACCTTCGCCTCTGTCTAAATGGATGTTTATGTTCAGGTAAAGATGGAGTGGGTGCAAAAATGGACTCAATGGAACTGGAGAGACAGCGGGGCATCACAATCAAGAGTGCCGCCACTTACTTCACCTGGGGCAAGCATGCAGTCAATGTGATTGACACTCCGGGACACGTAGATTTCACCATCGAAGTCGAAAGATCTCTTAGGTTAGTCAGTCAGATATGAAAGTCACACTTTCTGAGCTAATAAAGTATTAATCCGAAATTTTCCATTATAATTGTGTTCATACTGATTTCAGTTCCCAACACTGACGTTCTTTTCAGATGCGTCGTGTCCAGAAGTTTTTATTAAAGAGGTTCTACGAGGTTGGTTTTAACTTCACGAAAATCAATGTTCCTTGCTTTTTTTCAGAATTAGAATCCTTGCCTGGACAAAATTTGCCAATTGCGCTCTTGAGATTTGTAGCACACGTTTTGCCAAAAATCTTCATGGCTGATTTCTATTGCTGTAGTGTATGATTCTTTGTCCAGACAGTTGCAATGTGTACCAAATTGCGGAAGTTGCTTCTTTAATAAAGTTTATGAACGATAGTTCAGGACTCGAGAACAGAACAATTGATAAAAAATACAAGATAAATGAACTTTCAATGATCATAAGACCCAAAATTAAGGATTTGGTCTGATCCAATGATGTGCAGGTGGCGAGGGGACGTTCTTAACGTTTATTCGAGTCACCACTTTCTCTTGCTGTTTTTAATTTTCTTTAATATGTTTTTATCGACTATTTTGCTGTTTCACTTGCGATAGCAAGTGATTTTTAAGCGGGAACTAGACTTCCCCGTTTTATCACAACTTTTCTGTCAGGGGAAAGGTATTGGGTTCGAATCCGGGGCTCGACCTTGTTTTCTGATAACTTTTGTTTCTGACAAACTTGAGATATCGGACTATTTTTTGAACGGTCGGGGAGTTTTCACCATTTTAGAGCCGTATCTAACATTTGTAAACATGCAGGCAACCGAGCTTCAAGGTTTTTACCCCCGCAATAATTAACCTGGTAATAAGCGGGTACTAGATTTTTGTCGGGTACTAGATTTTTGTCCCGAAAATAACATTGTACACAGGACGCTTTTCATATGGACTCATTTCCTGGAAGCCTCTTAGCAATCAATTTACCACCACAGATTTTTTTGTGTTTGTTAGGATTTTAATTATCTTTCCTCTTCGAATTGTTTTGTCATTTTTAATTTTACGAACTCGATTTGTTAAATTTCTTATTTTTCATTTTTTTAATCTTTTTTTCTTCGGCTTAATAAGTTTCGGCCTATATTATATCGGCTTAGTGGCATCATATCAAGTCGTTCGAGGAGAGAAAAAGTTTGATTATGCGTTTGTGTGTTTTGCGGGTGAGGGGGACTTTAACTTTTTATTAGTCATAAACTTATTTGATTTTTTTCGGTGTTTTGTTTTTACACAAGCAAACTGTGTTATAGTATGAACTATCTTTTTTTTCCAACCTAAGTCGCAATTATTGTTGCGACGCAAATATTGTTGCGATAAAATGTGTTCATTTTGATCAATAAACAGCTATTAAGTACAGCCAAGGATATTAACACAGACTATTATTGTTTCGACTTTCGTAACGAAAGTAACGGAATATTTGTGCGCGGAGTGGTTTTTTTTCTTCAGACAATTTTCGGTTTTGTAAACAGCCGTTTTTGACAGAATTTGTTTATATCATATTGTTGTCCTGAGCTTGAGTATGAAGTTATTTCTCCTGTGATCATTTTTGGTAACGTTATAGGGGTTTAAAGATTGCCGATTTGGGACAATTAACGCGCGATATATTTCGCGCTATTAACGCGTAAGCGAGATTTAATCCGTCTTAGAAATCGTTCCAAATTGGTTTAACGAAGCTTATTTGCCATAATTGATTTGTTACAATTAGCGAAATCTATCCTTTTGTACTTTATATGGCGTGTGGGGTGATGATTTTCTTTAAAAATTTCAAATTAAAAAAAGTTTTATTTTATTTCTGTTACATATAATTTTTTCATGTTATTACTGCTCCATAGACTGCTCTATAAATTGAGGCATGTTAGTTGGTAACTTTCTTTTTTTTTCTAATTGACTGGTACTGCTAATGCGTCATAATTAGCGTGCGTCACTTAAGAAATTCATTTTTTCCCAGTTGTGTTACCGGTCAAATTTTTGCTTGAGTAGGCGAATAAAATTTTTGTGTGTTAAGGGTAGGGGGCTTAATAAAATTTTTTAAGCCTTGTTGATTTTTTTCAGCTTAAAATGCGTCTGTTAAGGTGTTTTCGGTTTTGTTACCGAGTGGTAATTTTTCTTTTGGTGCGAATTTTACATTCTAATGTCTTGGCTTGTTCTTCGTTTCAAAACCAGCTCTATTCGTTTTGATTGATCTAGTTTTTTCGACATTTTCGTATTTTTTGCGACTTAGCAGCTTTCTTGTTTTGTATTGATTGCCTAGTTATCACTTGATATTTTTCGTCTCAATGCTAGTTTAACGATGAGCACTGTATTTCAAAACTTGTTTTTCTTAGAGTGATTAGCAATCGAGACAACTTTTTTTATTGAACCTCGGCAACTTCCTGGCTCCACTTGGTCCAGAGGCTGCGTGTTTGTCTTTGCACCATAAGAGCTGAGGTTCAAGTCCCAGTTGGACCTGTTTTTTTTCAGAATGTATGACATTAAAAGTGTTTAAGTGAAAATTTGAGTTTTTGTTGTCTGCTTTTTTGTCGGTCGAATTTCCAAAGTATATTTTTTATTTGAACAGATTTTGCAATTATTGGCAGTCGTCATATCATTTGTCATTTTTTTATCATGAGTCGGATTTTTTTCGATTCTACCCAATTGTTTTTGGTGACCGCTTGTTTTTTGATGATATTAAAAGCTTATTTAATTCTGATGGTTGTGTTTCTCGGCGTGTTTCTTTGAAAAATTTTTTCAAACAAATGTTTTTTCGAGTTTGGGATTTCGTCTTTTTTTCTATTCGCTAGCTTCAATGCTACGACTATATTGCAATTGACGCGAATCTCCTCTTCGCTTCTGTGTCAACTAATTTTTTTTATCCGTTAGCTTAGTGATCAGTGTGATCTAGGGAAAAAGTTATCTAAATCTAAATATCAGTCTAGTATCTCTAGCGCTTATAAATGTTTGTTTGTCCGAGTTTTGCTTCAAAGAAATATCTTTATTTTAAATGTAATCTGCTGTGCTATGTCTCGCCCGAGCGAAAAGTTTGCCGCAGTTTTCTCAAAAATTCATGATTGATAATGGTGAAGACTGATTTCTTCCATTGGACTAAATGGAGCTTCATGATTCTTGCTTAAGCCTAAATACCTTTTGTAGCAGGGCTTTATTTGTCTTAATCACTAGTGGGATCGTGTTGGGCAAGTAGTGGAAGTATTATAACGTTTTCTCTAAAATCATGATTTCAAAGCTATTTTGCAATTTACAGTGATGGTCCTCGCTGTTGTTTAATTGAGTTTTTGATTAAGTTAGAATTTTTTTCAAGTATTTTGTGTTTTTTCATATGTAAATATTTGTATATTTCTTTGGAATTGCAAAACTCGGCCACGCAACTTGAAACGATGTGAAAAACAAAACTTTTTTAAAAATTGTTTTTATGTTATAGAAATAATTGGGTGCACTAGATGGTGTTTCATCTAGCTGGAGTAAAATAGAATGTGGTGTACCACAAGGCTCAATTTTAGGTCCCTTGCTTTTTCTATTATAAATAAATGACCTCCCTAAAGCATGCGAAACATCGGAAGTTTTGCTATTCGCAGACGATACGAATCTAACATCAATAGGTTGTCAAATAATTGACGTTCAAAAAGACATGACGTCTTTAAATAACTGGCTACATGCAAATAAATTGGTGATTAACCTATCCAAAACAGTTCAAATGAATGTAAAGTTAAGTGCTTCCAATCATTTATTTCAGTTAAACTCTTGCTCGATAAATACGAAACCTGTTTGTAAATATTTAGGCATTTACATAGACTCCAAGTTTTCTTTTAAAAGTCATATCGATTTCGTCAAAAAGAAACTTAGTAAACAATGCGGTATAGTTTCAAAGCTACGGCACTACGTGCCGAGGTCTCAAATGATCGAATACTACAGTAGCAATGTCGTTCCCATTCTCCAGTATGGCATTTTAATTTATGGATGTTGCAGCTATTCGCAGCTGGAACAACTTAATGTTTTACAAAAGAAAATCCTCAAATTCATTTTTTTCAGAAAACGTCGAGATCGTAGTAATGATATTTTAGAAAAATATAGTTTGTTAACCGTTTATGAGTATCATCTCTATGAGCTATTAAAATTTGTTCTTAAATCAGTTATTGGTGTTCATAATGATAGCTTTCTGAATGATTTATTTGTTTTTTAAAATGCAAAAAGAGCTACTAGAAATTCTGATAGCAGCCTTCTGTTCGAACCATTTTGTAAACGCAAAATTGAGCGCTTCTCGATTCGATATCGCGCTTGTAAACTTTTTAATAAGCTGCGGGTTCTGAATTTGATACCTGCACACGTCAAAAGTTGTTCTTTTTCAGAAATTTCGGCAATTCACCATTCTTTGAAAATATACCTGGTACAAAACCATGAATTAGTGAAACATATATTTGGCTTATAAAAAAAAAAAAATTTAAAACCCATACCCGTTGGTTGCATGCTACAGGACTACCAGCTATATATCAGCTTTTTTGTGTAAAAAAATGACCTCCCAAATCCTTCTAGTTTTCGAGATATCGAGGTTTTTTGATTTTTTTTGGATTTTTCTCACTAATTTTTTTCGAAAAAAAAAAAAAAAAAAAAAATTATACATATAATATTACAGCGCCCTGGAAGTATTGTTAAGTTTAGTACTGTTAAGTTCAGTAGTTAGTTAATGTCAACATAAATTTATAAATAGATATAAATTTTTTTTTTTTTTTCACGAGCTCTAGCTTTTGTATTTAAATAAAAATATATTTGCTCGTATTGTTTAATTTGATTTGTTTCATTAGAGATGTTTCATTTGAGTAGAAGGGTAGACTTTTAGTGGACCAACAGGTCCCGTTGTCTATCCGTTCCTGCTTTAAATGTGGCAAATTTAATTATGCTGATATATTGTTTATAAAAGGAAAAATATATTCTTTCTTTCTTTCTTTCATAATTTTCTCTGCTACTTTCTGAGCAGCCGTCTTCTTCCGTCTACGGAATTCCGAATTAACTATTCGTTTTTTAGGGTTTTAGACGGTGCCATTCTGGTTTTGTGTGGCGTAGCCGGAGTGCAGAGTCAAACAATGACTGTGAACAGACAAATGAAAAGATACAATGTGCCTGCGGTTGCCTTCATCAACAAACTAGACAGAATGAATGCAAACCCAGAAAGAGTCAGTGCCATGTTACAGCAGAGGTTATTACATAACACCGGATTTATTACGTATCCTATTGGCATTGAGAAAAAACTCAGCGGTGTGGTTAATGTCCTGGACGACTATGCTATTTATTTTGACGGCGAAAACGGTGAACTTCTCAGATTCGAAGAGATACCAAAAGATTTAAGAGAGAAAACGAAAGACTTGAAATCACAACTGGTTGAAAGTTTGACGAATGTAGATGATGAAATAGCAGAGATTTATTTGAACGAGAAGACACCAACAGATCATCAGATTCGTGAAGCGATTCGAAGGTGTTGTGTAAAAAGAACTTTCACGCCAATTTTATGCGGCTCTGCCTTGAAAAATATTGGAGTACAGCCGTTGTTAGATTCGGCGTGCGAGTTTTTGCCTAACCCGTCGGAGGTGGAAAATTATGCGTATGATAATTCAAAAAAAGAAGCGCAAGAGGAGAAAGTTCAGCCAGTGAGAATAAAAATGAATCCTGAAAGGACAAAAGACAACGATATGGTTGCACTTGCTTTCAAATTGGAGGCCAATAGATTCGGGCAGTTGACTTATTTCAGACTCTATCAGGGTAGGACTTTTCTGTTTTTTAAAAAGCAGCTCATTTCAGCTCCCGAAAGAATTAGTTCTACGCCTATGATTTATCTGAAACTTAGTACTATTAAGAGTAATGAACGTAGTTAGTACTCTTATATAGGTCTTGCTGATTTTTTTTTTCAGGAAAAAGTCTTAAAATTTGTTCACGCTCAATTTTGATTTTTCGCGGTTTGACTTGTAATTTATTTTCAAGTTTAGTCCATTTCTATTGTTAAAAGGAAGGCAAACTCCACTATCGAACAGCAAAAGTGTAAAGGTCACGAAAAACGTGATCGACTTCTAATTTCGAAAATGGAAATTATTTATCAGATTTCCCAGCGAAATAAAAATTTTGCCTATTGATCCAGTTTTCTTAAATTGGGTTAATATTAACAAAAAAGTGTCCATAATAAATTTTTTTTTCAAATTCAAAGAGCCCTAACGCAATATATTTTTTTCTTCGAAATTCAAAATTTGAAGGTTTTTGAAAAAAAAACAAATCAGTTTTTTTTTTCAGTTTCCTTGCGTTCATTACTCTTTTCCAATCTTGATTGGCTATGTTATTGCAATTGCACTGAATAAATTGAAATAATTTTATAATTATTTTCTCATGGCATACTTCAGCCTAACCTTCGCGGGATTAATTCACGGAATATTGCAAAAAAAAAAATTGTGATATTACGTATTAATAAATGATAACCAAAGTCGTTCAGAATAGCTATTTTGTTCACCATGAACATTTTATTGGATAATGAGGATGTTAAATCGGCATTTCGAAATTGAATTTCGTGTTAAATGAGTGTTACATTTTAGGCTCCTTGACAAAGGGCGACATGTTCGTCAACACTAGGAGTGGAAAGCGTATCAGAGTAAACAATTTGGCCCGGATGCACTCAAACGAAATGGAACAAGTGGACCAAGTGTTCGCAGGTACTCATCCTTTTAACCCTTGCGATAAGCAAGTGTGTTGCAACCGTGAAAATGTTACAGCTTGCTTCATAATAATTTCAATTTTAGGATCTTGTTAACTATTTCCCCCCCCCCCCCCCTATTGGAACTTGTTAGCTATTCCCCCCCCCCCTTATGCATGTATTTTTTTGACAACCATTTCTGTATAAAATATGCATTTCAAAAATGTCAACAATTATGTTAACATTTTCGCGCATTCGTATTTGTATTACTCACTATTTATATAATACCCACGTAAAAATTTTAAATATATGTATATTTTCTGAAAATTGTTTTAAGCTATTGAAAATGGGGCCGCCAAAGTTGCATTTCTGAAAATCGAAATAGGGGGGGGGGATAGTTAACAAGATCCCAATTTTAACACGAAAAGGATGTGTGATTCGAATCCGACCGGGGCCTGTTTTTTTTTAAACTAGAAGTTTTCGTCTCTTGTATTTTTGAAGGCTTAGTTTCCATAGTACGGATTCTTTTTTAGGTTCAGCTTTCGTATAGCTTTCTGAATGCCATTTTTAAAGCCCCATTGGCGGATGTAATTGAGTTGCAAGATTTGCTGCGGAACTTCTGTTTTTTTTTGGAAATTTTATATAAGTTTTTTTTTTAATTTTTTTTATTTGAAAGTTTTTGCTTCGTCGGTTAATGTGCACGGATTTTTTTTCTGCTCGATTTTATAACTTTTTTGTATAATTTCTGATTTTTTTTGTTTTTACAGAGTAATGATTGTAGTGAAGACACTTGTATAGGTCTTGGAGATTTTTTTTGTTAATTTTTTCAGGAAATTGTCTTAAAATTTGTTCACACAATTTTGATTTCTCGCAATTCGATTTGTGATTTTTTTAAGTTCTAGTTTCGAAAGTAAAATTTAATTATCCGATTTTTCAGCGAAAAAAAAGTTTTATAACTGTCTATCATATATTATAGAGCATTAAATCATAGAGCTTTAAGAGCATCTATTTTTTCTTCGAAATTGGAAAGATGGGATTTGTTTTAAGTACAAGTCTTTTTTTGTTTTTTTTTGCGTTCATTACGCTTCTCCAACTAGCAGTTGGTTATGTTTAACATTTGAAAGATTAGATGCTTTATGTTTAAAACTGTCTTTCCAAATTGAATTTCAATCAGATATAGAAAAATTATTTCTATCTGGTTTTAGGATTTTCAGCAACATCAGTTATTTAGTAACGGTGCGATTTTTTATCCGTTAACGGGCTTCATTTTTTTAAAATTCAGCTACGGGCTCTTATGTGTTTCTTCCTGCATCTATTAAATTGTTTGTTTAAAAAGATTTCACTTAGTTGGTTTCAGAAATATCAGTTTATGAAGGCTTTCTGCAATTTTATTCAAAATTGATTTCACGGTTTTTATATAAACATTTGAACTTTGTTTGTTTTTGTTATGTATGTCATCCAGTTATGATAGCCCAAATATCCCTAATGGCTTTATAAAAAAAATACTCGTCCACCGTTTTTTAAACGAAATTTCACATGTTATGATCGTTTTCCTCATATAAGAAAGTAATGGAAATTTATGTATGAGAGAATCATAATGTATACGGTTTCGAACGTTTGGTTTATCTGTTTCAAAACGTTTGAAAGCTTTTTGTGTGTTATTGGCTCACGATTAGCAAGCGCTTTTAAATTGGAACATACTTTTTTCCAGGTAAACATCTTGTCGGACCGAATCAACATCGTTTTTCCAAATCTGTACTTGTCTTCATTAATCTCATATTTTGAGCATGTCAATGTTTTAAATAACCGTTCTTTTCAAAAATTTTTTGTTGATGTTGACTGTAAATTTACCAACCTCGACCTGGTATAATTTCAGTTTTTTGTTCCATTTATTTGACCTAAAAGTTTCGGCTTGTATTGTATCGGCTTCCGCCTCATTTTCTCTCGGCTTCCGCCTCATTTTCTCTCGGCTTCACGCATGTTTGTTTTGTCCGCTCCACTTCGCCTCTGTGCTGGATATATATTTTGAACTTATGTCATTTGAGCGTTTTTGAAAAGTCTATTTTCTCTGCCTAGGCATGTATTTTTGTGTGGTAATTTCAGATGTTTTCGTTATTATTCATACGGTTATTTGCATCCATGGACATAGCTTGAATGGACATGTTAAGGCTTTGTTATATATGATATTTCGAAGAGAAAATTTAAATAAATTCAAAGTGTCTCGAAAAAGAGTGAGATACTCAAACACCTTTCATGGTCATGATGGTTGAGGATGTTTGTATTTGCTTTGTTCTGATTTTAGGAGACATTTTTACAATTCCTGGTCTGGACTGTGTGTCTGGAGATACTTTTGTGTCCAGTGCTCAGATGGTGGATGTGTCGATGGAGAACATATTCGTGCCGAAGCCAGTGGTCTCGATGAGCATCACTGTCAAGAACCAGAAACAGGTGGACAACTTCTCAAAAGCCATCAACAGGTCAGTCATCACTAGTCGAATTGAATTAAATACTGACTTAAATACTCTGAAGATAAAATCAGTACACGCACCGGGAATCGAGTTGGTTAAACCCAGGCATATGAAAGATCATTTTGCAGTTCCCATTGCTCTATTTTGTTATCGAAATGCTTTTTTTTCTAAATTCATAAACCCTTAAGACGATTTAACCCTTCTAAAACCCTTTAGTTTTTGGTAATCTAGCGCAAGAGTGGTCTTAGGTTTAGGAAGGGGAAGTAGACACCAACCAAATCCCCTCTCTCTGGAATTTGACGACCTCACCCCATTAAAAGTTTGTTACCTTTTTACGACTTGTTACCTTTTTTATAATATGTTGATTAACCGTAAAAGCTCTTTCGTTGTCAATATGAGAATTTAGCCGAAAGTGCTAATTTTCATCTTACTGGAAATTGATTGTCGGTAACTTTTTTGCGAAAAACTCTCTTTAAGAGCTTCCAAGATAGGTATTATTATCAGGTTCCAGAAAGAAGATCCAACATTTGTGTGTCATCGAGACGCGGAGAGTGGGGAGACTATTGCAAGTGGGATGGGAGAGCTGCACTTGGACATCTATGCACAGAGGATGGAGCGAGAATACGGGTGTCCAGTCACTCTTGGCCAACCCATGGTCAAGTTTAGAGAGACTATCCAGGGTATGTACCTTCAGGTTCCTGAAACTAGCTTTAGAATGCAGCTTTTTAAAAATAATTGTTTTGCTCGTTTTAATCAATTTTCTATGCTCCAATTGGGTATTTACTAGTCAACAAAGTAGAACTGAGTTGCCAATTATTGCTGGCTTTTAAATAAATTGGCAATCTGAGCAGCAGGTGCTATTGCAGCATAGAAAATTGGTTAAAAAGCAAGCTACCTTTTTGAACAAATTTGCAATCTTAAGCTTTAGTTTTTGAGATAAAATTTTCATTTCAAGGTCGCCTGAGAGTTCAAAATTTCCCATCATAGTCTGGACTGGTGGGGTTTTAACAGATTAGGATAAATCCCACAGGACAAAACCCATCGGATAAAATCTCCCAAGACTAAATCCACCATTCGACCAAATCTCCCTAGGACAAAATCCCCCAGTTTTTAGTTTAAAGTCCCACACATTGGAACAAGAAAATGCGACACTAAAAATTAAAAATTAACAGAAAAGAAATAGGTTGCTTAAAGACTAAAAACTAAAAGGATAAATTAGCAGCTATGGCTTTTAGATAATCCAACTCTTTAGTTAGCGGCAGAGCATATAATTATTTATCCTCCCAAAATTAATCCTCGTCCTTGTGCGAATTTTCTCGCTGAGCTGCGTTTGAGAGAAACTAAACGTTTGCAGAGATTGCTGCCTCTGAATGACTTCAATGATATATCAGGATTTGACATTTGGAGCATGTATTCAAAATCTAGGCATCGTTTTTCTTGCGAAAGTCGTCAATGTCCTGAAATAAACATTCCACATATCCAAGTCGAATCGAGATTTCCGTCTAGTTAAGTTTCGCGTTTCTTTGCCTACAAAGGTGTCCCCAAAATAGCTCATGATGTCGACCGAACGGAATGTGAAGAAGCGGCAAGAGCAGCTAAAAGAGGTATAGCATGGTTGAAATCCTTGTCCTTTTGATACAGTACATTATCTTTCTATAAATGACTTGCGAGAAGTGAAAGAATTCACCTTTCATTTCTGTCCGGAAAGTTACCCACAGAATTGATGCAAGCCATATGGAAGTCCATCATGATTGGATTGGGAGGCACGATATCTGCTTTCAAGTTTGACCAGGAAGAGTTATACGTTTCCTGTCGTTTAGCGGGGAGAAGGGCACAGCTACATGGAAAAGTCGTTCCATCTACGAAGCAGTTGACAGTGTATACTAGATCTAAGTTATCACGACTTAAAACTTCGATGTTTTTGTTGGTTGCGAATACCAAGTATCGCTCTTCAAGGATCCGTCGAGTCTATAATAAGACAACCCTCTCTGGTCATGGTTTGCATGTATTTAAAAGGCAGTTCAAAATCAAATACTGTTAGAGTCGGTGGCTGGCTTCAGTTCTCGTGTCGGATTTTCGGATCCTTCGTTTGATATGAGGCACTACCGGTATGAGCATACTTGGTTTTGTTTTTGATCCGGGCGTCCACTTTGATCTGTTCATTAAAGGCATACATTTCCATTGAAGCATAATAAGCGCCGTTTGTGCTCACATGGCGGCGATTGGAGGACTTCGCCCATCGAAATCCATATGATGTTTTAGACTGTTGCTACGATCGCCGCAACTCACACTGCCATTAAATAGAATTTACTTTCTTCTTACAATAAGCTTAGTTGTTATGAAGCTGTTTTTGGCCCCCTATGTTACTCAAGACAAATTTGATTTTGCCTTATAGTTATTTCGAATGAGTTGATGCTTAATAAAACGCACGTGTTTTACAAGCTGAACAAAATTTTGCGTCAAGAAACACTTTTAATAGCTAATGGGTAATTAAATTGCGAACACACTGGCATCTCACCGGTTAAGCTAATCGATTTGCTGGGACTATATCGGGTGTTAAATTGTTTATCAGGCAACATAAATTAACGTTAAATTAAGCTCAAGTTTTTGGTACCCTCAAATACAACATTCGGTGGTACTAGATGTCTGAATTTTTGACGCAAGAAAGAGCCATTTTCTAGGAATCGAAATTCCTTTCACACATTCCGATCTCAGGGAAACTCCGGATTTTTGATCCCTGGGGTAAATTCAACACACCTTTTTGTCGATTCTACAAAATGTCATTTTTGTGATTCGAACTCACGCTGTCGAGATGAACATTATCTTACATCCATTTTTTACTGAGTTTCACGTGGCTTATTAATTTTTGCAATTAGAGCTCATTCTCATAGAAAGTCAACTAAACGTTAGAATCTTAAAGTTGTTTAAAAATCCGTGAAAGCGGCGATGCATGATTAAGTTGAAGTCATTTCAAAATGGAATCAATAAAAACTAACATCATATTATGTATACAACTTGATTTCCAGGCTACTGAATCAAAATATAGAGATTTTGTCCTAGAGGTCTTTATCCAATGGGGGATTTAGTCCTGGGCCCCTTTCACGCATTCGATTAAACTTGAGACTTTCACAGAGCGCGTGCCATTTGACTATCTGCACAAGAAACAGTCAGGAGGACATGGGCAGTACGGTAGAATTCAAGGCTACTATGAACCACTGGCGGGAGACAGTTTCCTCGAAGTGGAGTTTGTAGACCAGGTACCATTCTAAGCTCATAATTACGGCTCTTTTCCACTCCCCTTCACCTTGCTATTTGAAGACACCTTGATAGGTCGTGTGGATTTTTTTTTGCAATACTTAAAAGTTCAAATTTGGTTTTTCATTTTAAGTTTACTCAAATTCATTTGCTTTGAGGAAGGCAAACTCCGCTGTCCAAATATATAAGTTAAAATGGAGCAAAAATATGATTCAAAAATATGATTTCAGTTTCAAATGATAATTTTAGTTCTCAGAATTTCCAGCGAAATATGAAAAACGATTTTTTTTACTCCAAAAAATGTCAATCATACAAGATACGCGAGCTTTAAGGGTGTTTAATTTTTTTACTTGAAAATTGATAGATGAAAATTTCTCAAAAATATCTATTCTGCTTGGCGATTGATTGGCAATTTTCCATCTGCCTGTTGGTTGTTTCTATTTAGCTACAAGCGTAATTGTTCCGACCATGGAAAATGGGGAGGAACTTTGTATTCGGATGTGTTTTAGTTTTTTTTGCTTTTTGTTTTCCACAAAAAATCAGGTACCACAAATAATGATCGGACTGGGTTGAGTGATATATCATATTAAAGCTCTTTCAGTCGTGATTCGAACGGCTGTAAAAATTTCGAAAATTTTGTGTTGAGAAAACCGGTTTGAAATTTTTGCATTTTGGTCTAATTTCGAGCTAATAAGGTGACCGTCTAGGCTTACAATAGCATATTTAAGCATAATTTAAGCCGCGAAAACTTAGTTTTACTCAAATAAAGGTAGTTTGTGAAGTTTTAAGCGCAATTTTGGAATGAAAAACTTGGAAGTTTGAAACATTGGTATTTTTTTTTCTCGTTTTTCTAGTCATTTTTTTTCAAAAACTGTTTTACAATTGACTTATTTTACTATGACTCTGAAATATGCCTAATTTCTATTTTTCCCTCAGTTCTCTTTATCACAACGTGCAGAAAAAAGCGACACCAATTTGAAAAAACTGTTCACCAGGCAGATATTGGTCGAATTACATTGCATGGTTGTGTTAGCTTGGTTGATCTCAAAATTGTTTGCTCCCTGATCTTCAAGTTTTGGACTTGAGGTTGTAGGATTTATAGGATGCTCATTCTGAAGTTTTTAATTTTGTTTTTGGATTTGATTCTATCTTGTACACTGACGCCAGATGCAGACGATTAGTGGATCCCGTTATCTCCAAGTCTCAAATTCTGATGCTAATATTATTTCATTATGATTTATAGGAGAATTTTTTTGTTATTACGCTTACATCGTAAAATCGGAAGTTACTTTTTTTCAGCTGAACAACTTTTCTAACAGAATCATTGAATCATTTTCTCATTTCTGTAATTTTGTCAACCAACAGGCTTATTTTGAACTTGTCTGCATTTTGTACAACTTTAAAAAATAGCATAAAAAAATATAACTAGTATTCAGTTTATTCAAAAGTTTTTTATTTTTTTTGTGTGCGTTATGGGTTTTTTACCTGTATGCTAAGCTTTTTACCTGTGTGCTTTATGGTTTTTAATGTTTTTTATGTGTGTGTGTGTGTGTGTGTGATTTCATTTTTTATTGAGCTGTTATAATTTTTCATGAGAACAATTTTCGCCTGCCACGTTTGCCTGCTCAAGTATGTTTGGTTTTTACCACTTTGTTTTTTTCCTTGCGATGCTTATTTACCATTATCTGACTTTAGACTTTTTTCTAAATTTTCGAGTTTTTTCTACTGGCTTCAGTCTCATTTTTTTGTCGGCTAAGTTGCCATGCTATGTTGTATCGCAAGTGTTGCGGAGCTCTCTTCTCTGTGTTTTTACATTGTATTCTTTATTTTTCAAAACCTAATTTTGAATGTCGAAAAGAGGCGTACTTAAGTTCTGGTGATCTGTACACTTGATTAGGAGGAGTTTTATATTTGTAACGATGAGACAAAATAGATATCTTCTGCTGTAGGTGAAGGGAGCTGCTATTTCGAAGAATTTCATGAAGGGCATCGAGAGGGGCTTCCGAGATGCGTGTGAGGAGGGTAGCTTTACCGGCTCAAAGATCACTGGAATCCGGATGGTACTGGTGGACGGAATGGAGCACCCTGTGGACTCTGGTTAGTATCGATAATTGCGAAAAGTTCGGACAGAAAGAATTAAAATAAAATGAGCCACTAACCTATTTCAGGAAATGTTGCATGCAATGTCTAGTTTGTTTAGCAAAATCTAGATAGTTTTTGTCATAGCGTCGCCTGAGAATTCGAGTTTTTGGAGAAAATTATGTTAGCCGATTGGTTTTGTATTTTTTTCTCAGTTTCTGAGAGTATTGATTTTTTTTGTATTGCACAGAAATTGATTGCCCTGACTTAGATCCATATACTAATGTCTAAAAGTAATTTTTTTTGGTTGTAATGTCCATATGCTAATGTCTAAATGTAATTATAGAATATGATTATTGTTGTATCCAAAAATATAATTTATTGGATACAAGAATCAAGACGGTGAAGTAGATTAAATTCAAAGATTATCTTGTTAACTTTCCTGTCTTCTGTTTTCACAGGTGAGAAGGCGTTCTACAACTGTTCGTTTCTGTGTATGAAGCAGTTTTATGACATCTCTGACAGACAAGTGATTGAGCCTATCATGACAGTCGAAGTTTCATGTCCATACGAGTTCAGCTCACAGGTGAGATGGCCTTCAGTCATTTTTAGTGCTATTTTTGCAGGCTCAAACTTACGGTGGTTCGAATTTTTAAATTCATACTCTAATTTTGGTACGGATTATTTCGTTTTATGGGTTTACTTGGTTTCTTCACCGTTCTCCCTTCTGTAGTCTGTTTTTAAAAATTGTGTGCTGATACATAGTAAATGTATAGAAAGCTTTAGTTCGAAGGATTTGAAAACAAGAGTCAAATAGAATGTGTTGACAGGTACAAGGTAGTATAGTAGTCAGAGGAGGAGATATCTCGAATGTGGAGGGATCGAGTGACACTTCGTACATTGAAGCCGAGGTACCTCTGAGTAATATGTTCGGATACATATCGGAGCTGAGGTCTCTCACCGAGGGCAAAGGAGACTTCACTATGGAGTACAAGTGCTACAGACCAGTGGGAGCAGATACAGAAGAAAGACTGATCCAAGAGTGGGACGAGGCAGGCAGAGTGTATAAGAAGAAATTCCACACGGACTAAATTAATATTGCTGTCACAACGATCACAAAAGCTGACAACTTTTATTGCAAATGTGTGTTTTTCTAGAAATAAGCTGCTGTTTTAAATAGAATGGACGTCAGAAGAAATTATGTGTTCTTGACTTCTTAGAAACAATGGAAATGTCTATAAAATAATGATTGACAGCTGAGCTGTGGAAATATTTTTTAACTGAAAAAATAAAATAAAAAAATTGAAGCATTTTGTTTTCAATTCAACTACTGGTCAAAGCAGTGGAAGTTATACAAACCTTTGATGAGGGACATTTTATGGCTTGTTGCAAAGTTTTTTTGGCGCGATTCAGCAAAACGTCATTGGCGAAACTTCTCAGCTGGTTTGTCTTGAAGTTGAAATAACGATGACTGAAGTCAATTTTCACTTGATTATTTTTTGGCGGTTTGCATTCAATTTTTTAAATGAAAGTGAATGTAATCTATACACTAATCTAGTTAGTTTTTATTTTTATCGTTTTTCTTCGGAAAGTCTTTAAATTTGTTCTCCCCAAATTTGATCTTTCGCAGTTTGACTTTTGATTTTTCTTAAGTTCAATTCAAATCGTTTTTGCCTTTGCAATTGAATGGCGTCTAGGCTCGAAAAGGGTTTTTATCTAGAGTCGATCAGCGTAGTTCAGATCCTTATATAGGTCATGATTGATTTCTCATGAAAATTTAAAGTTTGTTCAGGCTCAGATTTTTTTTTTCGCCTTTTGTTCGATTTCTTCTTAAGATCAGTTCGTTTCCTTTGTAATAAAATTTCTACCTTTCGATGCCGTTTTTCAAATTGGGTTAATATCCAAAAAGTTTCATTCATAAATAATTGTTCTGGAAATTCAAAGAGCTTGAACGCTATCTGTTTTTTATTGGAAACTCGAAAGTTGAGATTCTTTCAAAAAACAAGTCAGTATTTTTGCGTGCATTTTGCTTGCTTTCATTGACAGTTCCAATTGTCAATCGGCTATGTGTTCAAGATTTGCCAGCGGAAAATGTGTTTACCCATTGATCCAGTTTTCTCTAATGGAATTGAATTCATCAAAAAATTTCAATCAATATTTCTTGAGATTAAAAAAGAGCATTACGGCCATAATTTTTCTTTTGAAGTTGAAGTCTTCAAAACAAAGTTTCATGATGAAGTGGGTCATTTTTGTCAGTTTCTTTGCGTTCAATAAAACTTTCAAACTGCCTGTTCACTATGTTTTAAAGGCATATTCTGTTTCATTTGCCAAATGGAAGGCAGATAAGGCTGTCTTTTTACAAAACCTTAAATAGTGCCGAAACTCACAAATAAAGTAACTTCTGAAATTTATATATCGCTGGGAATTTTCTCAACTAAACGAAATTTTTAAAACTTTGGCGAATGAAACGAAACAGGCCTTTAAAGCATAGCCAACAGACAGTTTGAAAAGTGCCTATAAACGCAAGGAAACTGACCCAAATGACTGACTTGTTTTTTAAATTTTCCCAACGATAAAAAATTGTCGAAACTGATTTCTTTTGTGCCAAACAAGAGTCAATCATGAAGTATTCTTGAAGTTCAGAGGGCATTAGGGCGATATCGATCTTTTATATAAAAACCATTAGGAAACAGAGTTTGGTCATTTTCTGTTTCCTTGAGTGCATATGTTTCCAACTCGCTTGGATATCTCGATCAGCGCGAATTATCGACGCAAGCTCAAGATACCATTAGATATTTAGGATTTCGGATGAGGCTTTTTTGATGGTTGTCCCTTTTGTCGTACCCAATAGCAGCAATTTCCCGATGCATTGAAAATATTAATTTAACTGTTTATTCAGTTGGAGTTTTTATTAAGAGTCGATGAACGTAGTTCACACTCTTATATAGGTCACGATGATTTTTTTGTTTTCTTTTAAGTTCAGTTCATTTCCTTTGTTAAAACAAAAAGTGTAAAGATCAGTAAAAACGCGATCCAGACTATCTTCGAAAGTGAAATTTATTTTCAGATTTTCCAGTTAAATATTAATTTAACCAGTTTTTTCAAATTGATCGAGTTTTCTCAAATTGGGTAAATTTTGCCGAAAAAAGCGCAAATCATAAATTGTTCTGGAAATTCAAAGAGTTTTCTTTAAAGGCATCTTTTTTTTCGAAAATTGAGTTTTCTTTAAGTCAATTTTTTTCTGTTTACCTGCGTTCGTTGGCTCCTTTCCAACAGTCGGTTGGCTTTGTTTTTACCGAGAGGCCACTATTATGAACAATTTGCTCAATTCTGTGTAAATTTATTTAACAGTTTGTTTTTCAAGATTTTCTACGCATTAGGTATTTTGATTTTCGAAACACCTTTGTTAAGTGTCCTGGAGCGAAGTGAAGACATATTTCGGTAGGAAAAACTACTTTGCGATTAAATTTGATCTTATTTTTTGAAGTGCGATCTCTGGATAGATATATCGAGAAAGTGTGAAAAATTCTCTTCAAACAAAGATCTATCAGGCGGTATAGTTTCTTCTGTAAAATTGAAACTAAAAAAAGTTTAAAAAAATTATTTATTTTTGGCGCTTTTAAGTTCATTGACAACTGCTTTTTTTATACTTGCGAGCTCCAATTTTGCTTCTGCGATGCCAATTGATATTGACTGGGTATAAAAAACATGTTGTACTTGATTTTGAGTAATAATGAAATACCCATTTTTTTGATCGTGTTTTTCATGAATGGGTTGAATGAATTCAAGGGTTTTTTTTTGGTCTTCGATGAATTTTTAACTCAGGCTTGATTGTGGAGCAGCTAGATTGTGGTTTGTACAACATAAAGCAACGGTAAATCAAAATCAACGAAATCAAGTTTTATTTTTAAGAAGCGTTGTTAGTTAAAGAATAATGTCACTGAAATAGTTGTTTTAAATTTGAAATTTGATCTCTAAACGACGCTGTTGAGATTGTTTTTTGGTTAGGTCGTTTTTTCAAGTAAAAATGAGTTGCAGCAAACAATAATTAGTTGAGACCAAGTGATTTATCATTTTCAAGTTCAATCAATTGTTATTATTGCAAATTGAAATCTTTCCTAGCTTAAAAGTGTGCGTCACAAGTGTTCTCATATTTGGAAATTTCACTGTAGCATCTGTTCTTTACCTTACCTGTGCTTGATGCCTATTAAGCGTCCGTGGCTGAGTGATTAGTGTGTGAAACTCTTAATCTCTAGGTCGCAGGTTCGAATCTCAGACGTAGCCGATTTTTTAAACTAATTTGAGACTTTTCTCATTGCACTTTATAAAGCTGCTTTTTGTCGTGTTCTCGCTAGTGTATGCGAAGTGAAGCTTCATCTCTGTTCAGAAGCTTAGCACCCTAGACCAAATGATGGTGGGTGAATACATTATTTAACTTGTTTTAGTTTTTGATGCCTCTGCTTATAATCTGTGGTCAGGCTTGTGGCGGTAAAAGCGGACTAGCTAATAGGCTGGTGACTCACTTCACGAAAGAGAACACGCCAGAAGACAGTGTTCATCTAATTTCGGATGAGTCATTTTACTCTTGTAGTGGAAAAGACAGGAACACAGTGTATGGGTCGCCTGGTCTCGAGAAACAAATGAGAGGACAGCTCAAAGACGAAGTCACACGTGTACTGTCGGCTAACAAGATGGTCATACTGGATGCACAAAATTATATTAAAGGTGTGAGTTGTGATCGTGAATTGTAGTTTCGATATTTAGCTTCGCTTTGATGGAAATAGTTATTGTTTTTGACGCGTTTGATTTCGAATCAAGTATTATGGTTTGTTAAAAGCAGATCTGGTATGATTGAATATTTTTATCGCCCAAGAGGTTAGTTCCATTCAAGGTCAATTAACGAAGTGAAGACACTTATTTGATCGGATTTTCTAGTTTTTTTTTTTTTTTGCGGTTTGGCTTTCTAAGTTTTTTTCAAGTTCATAGCTAAAAGGAAAGCAAATTACGCTCTCCAATTGCGAAAGTGGAAATGGCGCATAATACTAATTCTTTTTCTAACTGGGGTAGGTTTATGAAAATGTTGCGATCATGAAAGGTTCTTGCTGCTTAAAGAGCTTTAACTTGATAGATTTTTTTACATAAAAATATTTTCTTTGCTCGGTTCTTGAGATTATTGAACCTTCTCCAACTTTTTGTTGGCTTAGATAAAACCTTCACGTTTGTTTTTTGGTTTCTTGAAAAATCTTCTGAAAGCCTCCCGCAGCTTTATTGCACTGGTGAATGAGGCTCTCCGACACCCCCCTCACAAAAGCATTAATTACTGATATAACAAATAGGTTAACCAGTTTTTGTTTTGGTAAGAAGTCCAAACAAATTTGGAATGGCATAGTTAGGCTGTATAGCTGCATATAATTTTTATAATAAATGGGGAGATTTTGAGCCAAAGTTATACTGATAAAAAAATATTGCAGGAATGGAGGTAAAAAGTCATCTATGGTTATTCTTGTGTAGATAACTTCAAATTTTATAGGTTTCAGGTACGAGCTCTACTGCGTTGTTAAGGCTGCCAAGACAACCCAATGTGTCCTGTTTCTTAACTGTCCGTTAGATCAATCACTGACTCATAATGAAACGTCAAAACTGTATTCAGAAGAGACCATCAAAGCACTTCATCTGAGATTCGAAGCACCTCAAAGTACAGCTAGATGGGACTCCCCTCTGTTCGAAACTAGGTACTCGTTTGGAAGTGTGAATTAATTTTTTGAGAATCCCGTAAATAAAAATGTTCAGAAGTTGTATTTAAACCTGGTTACTTCTGTTTAAACCTGGTTACTTCTGGTTACTACCAACAACGTCATACCGAATAGAACACGTAGTCTTGTGCTAGTTATAAATATCTGAATTTTATAAAAACCTTTAAAAAATTTCTCCTAAGATTTTGGCTTTAATTCTATCATTAAAATCAAAATAGACCAAATTTTACATGTGACATTGCACTTCTAAACACGTTCCTGAAACTAGTCCCGAGAATGTTCACGAGTTGGATTTGCAAATGGTTGAACAAAGTTTAACCAGTGGACGTGCTCTGCCTCCGAATTTATCCACTCAAAATCCACCACGACTTGCTGCTGATACACTGTATGATTTGGACAAGATGACACAAAAGCTGACCAGCCAGGTAAAAAAATTTGATTGAACCTTCAATGTTTGATGAAATGCCATTTAAATACAGCGTATTTGTTTTGATCAGTGGTAGCCAGGAAAATGAGGGGTAACAGTCAGGTTCTTTCAAGCCAGATTAAATTCCATACCAAAACAAGGGCAACGGTTGCTGGGTATTCGGCGTCAAATTTTAATTTATGATAGCCTAAACGAGGAGAAAAAATCTGGCAAAAATTAACATTCTTTTGAAAAATTTAATCATATTCTAATCTAATTAGCGCTAACACAAAAAAAATTGCTTGAAACATCTTTCGAATCGCAATCACGGCTTCAAAATCTTAAATAAGAGGCCACCGTCATATTTTACGCCCGTTCCGTGGAGTTACCTGAAGTAGCGTAAAGAAATTCACATCAGGCTTTAGTTTTTTCCCACTTTTTTGGAGAGGTCAGTATAATAAATCAAAAAGTGGACCGGAGTAAGAAGTTAGAGTAGTAAGTGTAGTATGATTTTGGGGAAATTCGAAGGAGCGATTGGTATCGTGTGGAGTTTTGAAACACTTCGTGCATTCATTGGGGACATTTAAGATCATTTATCCACGAGGGATAGGACCAACATACGAGCTGTACAGCTCATCACGGCGAACCGCTGTTGTGCCCCTGCTTAAGAACTACATGCAATTTTTTTGCTTGATGAAATTTGTATTAAGTCTTGGCTCATTCGATGTTGAGTCAATTAAAGTGGAGTAGCCAGAGCGTAACTTTGCAAGGCTCGGAGGGGCTAAATATTGAATGAGAGTTCAATTGGGTAGATTAGTGTATGTGTTTGGGGTTTGAGTTAGTCATCGATGGACTCATTGGGATCGACCAAGTTTGTCGTGTCATGACTTAACGAGGGTTTAATTTGTTTTGAGGGTTGTTTGCTTCGAAATACTTTTCCGGAAGGTTTGGCAAGGTGACAACTGGCGTAGTATTAGAATGAGAGAAGGATTCTGCAGTAGAGTATGTGAAGGATGTGGCGTTGAGTATTTACGCAGTTGATTTGATTCAATTAGTGCATCCAGTTTCAGTGTAGAAAGCTGCATTTTGTACTGTTTGTTATTTTTGCATTGGGAAAGCGCTAACTACATGTGACCACGCTGCTGCTGTTTATCCCTTTAGCTGCTTGGTTTTAAGCCTTTAAGTAGTCGGATAGTTCGGCGCTTTGCCCTGCTGCGAGCAGTTTTGTGCTCTTCTACCGTAACCTGTCTGATTTAAATATCACTTTTACGGTGTTAGTTTTAATTAACGAGGTTGTTTTCGATTTTTGTAAAGTGTTTTTCATTTGGTATAAAAAACCAGATGCTAATTTTGATGGCAATCAGACAAACTGCTCAAGATAAAAAAAAATCGCAGATGGAAAGAAAACGGTCTTTTCTTGAAACTCAGCATTAGAACATTTTTCTAAACAAATTGGTCTGTTGGATTTTTTCTTTTTGATTTTTTTATTATATGAAATTTGTTTAGATAATGGGACAGATGCTGAATGCCGAGATTGGCGATGTGTTATTGGTGTCATCAAAACTGAGCGACGACTTGATAATTAGTGAAAAACTGAAAGTAAATAAGAAACTGAGCATGCCTGAACTGCAGCGAATCAGAAGACACTTTCTAGACTTTTACAAATCTCACACTTTCAAAGACCACTCACAAGTGCCTAATGTTTTCTTCCAATTTGTATCCAATGCCATGCTTTAAGTTTAGATAGATTTTGATTTTAATTCAATATTTTTCTTTTGAAGTTCCCCTGTGAGAAAAAAATTGATTAAGATGTCTGAATGATATATTAAATTTGATGATAGCTTTATTATTAGATGGTTAAATCATCTCTTTCGGATAAACTTTATGAGAAACGTTAATACAATTTTACACTCAGAGGTGAAGCAGCGCTTTGCACCTCTTGTGATACACATACTTCATTTAAACCAACAAAATATTAATGGAATAGATATGACCCAGCTATTCTCTAATACACGTATGAATCATAAAATCTTCAAGCCAAATAATCCTTCGTAAAAATGGGAAAACTTGGTAATTGAAAAAATTTCAGACCAGGACGATAAACTCTAAATATGTAAGTCGGAAGTTTGAATCAGGCGGGCGGCAATTTCTAATTTTTCTAAGCTTAATTACCTTTGCGGTAATTTATTTTGCATTTCTTTTTCTAGCTTTCTTAGAGCTGTTACATTCATTGCTTTTTTCTGACTTAAGAGGAAAATGATAAGACAAAACAATAAGCTTGAAAACTTCCAAAAAAACTGAGCAAAGTTTTTCGGAACCCACGTAAATGCTCAATTGCCGGAATACCGTGAAAGGATTCTCAAATATAGTGAAAATTACAATACAGTCCGTGCTGTACCAACTGAGCACACTAAACTGCTTGGAAAAACTCTCGGTAAATTGTTGTTGTTTTTTCAAGCCGAAATTTTAGTTTCAAAAAGAGCAGGTCTTTGCCGGATTCGAAGACTAGGCGTTTGTTGTCCTAGACTTGGACGCTATCTCAGCGCCCCATGCGCGGAACAAGTAGCTGAGTTTCTAATGATTATAAATCAAATGTTGCAGTGATTCTATTAGACAAGTTGTTGGCCTGAAGAAAGTCTGTTACTATTTGTTTACAGGAGCGAGTTTTAAGGTTAATGCACTTTTCGTCAACCAACTTGTTCAGAAAAGCTCATCAGTTTCAGTATCAGTACTGCTCATGTTTCCGATCCCATATTTTCTATTCGCTTTATTACACATTCGTAACGTTGTGTGATAATGCGATCCAACTTTTTTTCCAACTTGAGTCGCAATTAAAAGTGCTACTTCTGGTGGCTTTTTGAATCAGTAGACTACAGTAGCGGTTTGATAACATGTGCTTTAACATTATTTAATTGGTAACAAGTTAACAGAGTTAACCAAAAAAGTGTCTTTCATAAATTGAACTGAAATAGTGCGTGCAAAATGTAAATTTTTCTTGAATTTCAAAGAGCTCCAAGGCCGATATTATTTTTCTTCAAATTTCGAAAGTTGGCTTTAAAAAAAAAAGTCAGTTTTTTTTTCTTTCTTTACTTTTCATTTTTTTTGCTTTTTCATGATGTTTCTTGTTTGCCTTTTTAGAGCTAATTTTTGCCGTCTTGACACTTAAGTGTGAAGGCAAGTATAGAAAACGAACTGGTAAGTAGTGTGATGATTGGAATGTTCCATAACAATTGGATGGAGAAACTGAAACTATTATGAACTTAATACCAGTGAACTTTTTGCCAAACAAAGAATTTTTGATCATTTTGAAGGAATTTTTTTGTAACAAAAAGTAGTTCTAAGAAGGTAAAAAATAAAAACCATGAAACTCATTGTAGTCCAATTTTTCCCAAAGGTCTCAATAATCCCAAAAATGCTTTGAGTAGAGATTTTTTCTACAGAATATGGGATGTCTAAGGTTTTCATCAGTGCTCGAAAGATCGAAATAGCTGACCATATCCTCTCTTCCGTCAAAACGACTTCCTTTCTCCCAAGATCCGACAAAATACTCCCTCATCCACTTACTAAATTTGTAGCTCAACACTGTATTTTTACTCTTTGTTACGCGGCGAATACATATTACGAGTTAACTTTTTCCAACCTATCGCGCATAAACATTAGCAGTAAAAGTACTCAATTTCTGTCTTTAAGGACTGCTGATATGTAATACCCGTGTGTTAGTGGCTGGTGTTTGGAAGACAGACAGCAAGAATATCTGGCTTTTTTGTGATGATATAAATATGTTGGTCGATCGAAACCCGTATGCGGCGAATTTTTTTCTTTTTTCAACAGCTTACACTACTGACCCGTGTAGTGGATTATTACGAACCTTCTTTCTTCATTACCTTAACTCGCAAATAAAAGTGTTCATTAAAAGTGTCCACTTATTTGGAAATTTCGCTGTAGTATTGGAAATTGCGTAGTATCTGTTCTCTGCTTTGTTTGTGGCTAGTGTTGGCTCTTCGTGGCTTAGTGCGTGAGACTCAGAACCTCTATGTCGAGGGTTTGAATCGGAGACGTATCCTTATTTTACTAATTCGAGGCTTATTTCAAAGTTTTTCTATTGCACTTTATAGAGCTGCTTTTTGTGTTCTCGCTAGTGTTTGCCAAGCAAAGTTTTGCCTCTGTGTTTTTATTTTAGCACTTTTTCTGCAAATTTGAAGCTTGTTTTGCTTTCTTGTACTTATGTATTTTATATTTTTTTAATTTAAAAAGTTTCATGAAATCTATATTTTTCACAAGTCTCCAAAAATCTGGAATTTTTTTTGTAGTAAATTAGTAAAAGTACGCATCAGTGAGGAGAAATTTTTTATATGTCGACTTAATTGATTTTCTGAGCTCTCCATAAACACCATAATGACTCCATTTTGACCACACTTTTTGTGCCGCAGATTAGAAATGCCGTTTTTGAGCACTTTTCTGAAGATTTTGAGCTAGAACTCGCGCTCCTGTTGAAATTCATTAAAATTAGCACCGAAAGGTCGTTCGGCAGAAAATTGATTTCGTAAAATAAAACTAAAGGGAGATCACTTTGGGTGGTGAGAGAGTTGCATACCGAAGGTACAAAGAGACGTTCGCCCCAACCTACCCTAAATATAGGCCCCGATGCTACTTATATAGCAACCATGAATTATTGCTCTCTTTTGATTTGTCTTTGAAAAATCCCACTTTCATTATCTAAATATATAAAGTCTACACGAATTTCCGTTGTGTACCTCTGGGACCTCTTGCACGGTCGACTGCTCAGAACATAAAAAATTAGTTTTGAATGCGTTATTGTATTTTTGACAGCCCGCTGGAGCGAACAACTTTGGTCATTAATTCATGAAAAATGGAAGTTAAGCTTTGGAGTCAAGCATTATCGTCAATCATCAAAAAGTTTTTGTATCAATGGTATTTGTTCAAGTCAGAATTTCCATGGTCACCATTCGGATTCTGGCGGCTGGATCAGGTATCTAAACAGAATAGGTAAAGCTAAAACTAAGCATTCAATTAATTATTTCGGTCAAAATATCATTATAATTGCGTATGCAACCACGTACGTGACTATTTAGGATGTTTTTCACCTGTAGACAATATAGTTACCCAGAAAAAAAACGTTTATAGATGAAAAAGCGTGAACCAATTTGTTAGTCTACAAAAAGAAAAATTTTAAAAACAACAGGTGTTTTTAGCCCTTATTTGAAAACTGTTGAGCTTTATTTTTGAAAATTGTCAAGCTTTCTAGCCATTTGTAAAAATACATTGAATTATTCTGTAAAAATACATTGATAGATAGTTCATGTTAGGAATGATATGGTATAAAAGTTGATCTTAAGTTTCCCACAAGACTACCAAAAAGTGAGAAATTGATTATTTTGGCTTTCTTCCTTCGCGTGATATAATGAAATGAGATACTTTTTATATTATATTTCCTAAAATGGCGCATAATGACTTGGTATGTTTTGTTATGACACTGTTATTTACATGATATCTCCCTCCCGCAGTGGGATGTCTGGCTCGGGGTTGACCACCACGTAGTTGATGGCCCCACTCTTCCTTCTGTCCATCTCTGAAACAAAGACATTTGGGAGTGATGGGCAAGTGGCTAAGTTCACAGAGTCCCAGGTGAAAGGTCGCTGGTTCGAGGCTGATGGATGAGGAAAAAAATGTATATTTAAAAGCTGAAGAATTTCTTTGATTGAAAACAAACCATGACATTAACTACACCGCAGATAAAAAAGAAAACACTATGGAAAGTAATTTTTGAAGAAAACATGAAAAATAAATGGACATTTTTTTGGAGCCTTTATTTGCTTATAGTCGGAAAAATTATACTCTGAATGCAACTTGGAATTAAATAACTACTTGCCTTCCAAGTTAATGTCCGCGTCGGCCACGCCTAGTCGGAGCAGTCTGTCCCTGAGGATGATCTTGGCCTGGTTCTGTCTCATAGCAAACACGGCGTCCTCCTCTTCTTCCCTCCTCACATGCTGCTCATTCGAACACTCCAGCTCAATGTCCGAACTAGAGGAGCCCTGGTCATAAATATCAATATATGCAATAATTTTTTTATTTGTCACAACACGGATGTTTCCAAATGTTTCCTTTTTTGAGTTTATTCTGAGGTTATTACAACTATCTATTTTTTAACACAGAGGCGAAGTGTACCTTCATACCCCTTGCGATGCAACACGAACATACAAAATAAGAAGTCGAAAAAAATGAAAATTGTGAAAAAAAACTAGGTGAACCAAAATGTTCATAAATCTCAGTAAAAGATAACTAAGTATCCAGCTAAAGAATTTACCGTTTGATATTTTTCTTGGAATTTGCGTTACTGTTGCGGAACAAGATGAGAAATGCCAAAAATTGGAATTTTTTCAAAACCTGAGCTGTTTTTCTAAAGTAAATGAGAAGACAGAAATTTTTTGAGAAATAGGAATACTCCCTGAGATATCACATTTTCACACAAAAAATTGAGAGTTGCCGCTTTTTTAGAAAAATATTGCCAGCGGTTCTTTCGATAAAACCCTTCGTCTCAGATTTCATGAAGTAGTTTCTAAGAAAAGTCGAAACGAACCAAAATGCATGTCTTAGGTCGAAAAAATGTAAGAAAATGGCAACCTATCATAAATTTGATTTTTCGAAATCCATAACATTTTTCTGCAAAAAAGGACCTGGTCGCTTAAGCAGAAAAAATTTCCAAAATCAATTTTCTCGACTGAACTTTAACATAAGAACTAGCTAGGTAGTTTTGAGAAAATAGGAAAAAAGCGTTTTTAGGCACTTTTCGAAAAAAAAATTGGTCGTCCACCCTACCCCACCCCCCTCAGCACGCTAATGTTAAAAGTAAAATATTAGACAGTCAAATTAGACAATCATAGTAATGCAGGCAAATTGGACAAAAATATTTGTAGAAAAATGACTGGAAAAGCTAAGAAAAACTCAAAAAAAAATTTTCTCAAAATTTTGCTGAATTTTTTTTTTGAAGTTGTTGGTTCCCAAAATGAAGCTAAAAAAACTCCAAAAACGAGTTTTATTTGCGTAATAATAATTTTTAAGGCCCTAAAATAGGCATAAATTCAGCTTGTGATCCTGCTCGCTTGCTTTATTTGCTCGAATTAAGACAACAAATCAAAAACTTCAAACTTCGACAGTGGGAAAACTTTTTGGAAATTTTAAAAGATGGTTCAAATCACAACTGAAAGGGCTTTAATATGATGGATCATCACTCAATCCAGTCAGAATTTTACTTGTGGTACCTGATTTTGCGTGGAAAGCAAAAAGAGAAAAAAAACTAAAACACACCCGAATACAAAGTTCCTCCCCATTTTCAATGATCGGAACAATTATGGTATCATATTAAAAATTTTCAGCTGTGAATAGGATTTTCAAATAGAACCAAAAGGTTGTCTGGGTGTCGTGGAAATTGGTTGAAATTGAAAATTACTGTTTTCGGAGTAGATTGGAACACCAATTTAAAGCTGGACTACACAATAAATTCAATTTTAATTTTAACGTTATTTAAGCTATTAGTTCTCCTCCTTCTTGCAGTTTTGTTACATAACTCAGTAGTTTTTTCCAGAAAAAAACACCAGAAAATAAGAAAACCATTTAAACGAAAAAAATTTTCGATTAAGAATTGTTTTTTAAATTTCTTGTTCAAATTATTTCGGTCGGAACATGCTTTGGTCGGAGAATTTTTATATAATCTACCTTAAGTATGAGTCGAATACATACATTTCTTAGCTTATTCCCGTAATACCCCAAGCAATTTATAGCCCCTCCCATAATACAAAAGACCGAACCGCTGTGGTGTGGGAATGATCTAGTTGTTAATAGGCTGATAGGGGGGCTATAATGAGAAACAGGTTTTTTGTCTACCTGTTTGTCTAGAGGTTGTTTCCTGTACATGCCAATTGGCAGCTGTCCATACTCTGTCAGCCTCTCCCCCATCAGGCGACCGAAGTTCTGCAGACACTTCACATCTTCTCCATCTACCACGTACTGAAAGTTAACATTTTCAAATTTCAGATAGCTTTAATTTGTAGCTTTACAGATAGCTTAAATCTATGACCCAATCCACTTTAACCTCTAAGTTTTTTTGAAACCGAAAAAAAAATGATTTTGTTTCCATGTATACAGTGACGGATCTAGGATTTTCTCGAGGGGAGGGGGCGGATTTTCAAAAAAAATACGAAAATTTTGTAAGGTTGACTAAATTAATTTTCTGAGCTGTTTTGGCCAAAGTTTATGCGCCGCAGGCATCGTCTTGAAAAAAGTTAAAAAAGGCGTTTTTAGGCACTTTTTGGAAAATTTTGACTAAAAAAATTGCTTTTTTTTCTCAAAATTAGTAAACATTGGCGCCAAAGGCGCCTTTAGAAAAGTTTTAGGGTCCGTCAGCCAAAACGGATATCTCAAAATAGTTCAAAGAGGGGACCGGGAGGGATTCGAATCCCTGAGGATGGGTTTCCGCTCCCCCCTTCAATCCGCTGTTGAATGTATGAATGGTAAAAAATTATTTCGAACTTTTTTGAATTTATCTTATAACTTTTCCGAGCTTAGCTAATTTTTTTATCGGAATATGTCAAAATAGGTTATCAAATTGATCCTTTGTACTACTCTACTAGCTATGGAGGACTCTCGCATGCCAGAAGAACCAAATGCTCGAAAATAATGTGAGCCAATCATAATGCATTATCTGAACATCTGAAAAGTTAATCTGATAATTCGTCAGTGCTGGAATTTAAGTAGAACGCTGATAGATTGAAAATATTCGTGCTTGTTGGCCTTTTGGCATGTTGATCTACCACTGATTTGAATGACTCACAAAAATGAGGTGTCCTGAACCGGTGTGTTGTTTGAGTCCTATGAGTAGGTACACTATGGACATGATGTATGGCTTCACGAATGACTGGTACAGCAATGTGTCCAACATAGAGGGACTCATAGCCTGGCCACTCACAAAAGCACTTCTGAACAAGTCACTGTCCACCGGCACTTTTTCCAATCGTCTCTAAATTATTTATTTATATTAGTTACAGCTAGTATATTTCGTTGGCTGTCCAAAAAGTTCGTAACAGAGATCCAAAGGACTAAAGGGCGGCGTTCCTATTGGGAAGAAGATTTCCTCCCGAAATCAGCCGAAGAACTAAATCAAGACAATCTAAATCAAGAAAATTTTTTGAACTGATGATAGCTGTAGACCTGGTTGAGTTGTTCGTTGTAAGTTTTGACCAGCTCGACCAAAATAGCTGTTTTGACTGATTCAACCAAATTTTTAATTTTTTTCCTTGTTCCGGTACTTTTAACTGATTTCTCTCAAATTTTTTACATTTAAACAATAAAACCAGAACCACAATGCTCGATTCTGATTGATTAAAAATATGACTTAGAAACAAGCGTTTGAACATACTTTTGTTTAGATACGGATAATCTGTCAGTTTTTTTGGGCGGAATGAGTATAAAAAGACTCCAAACTGCGCTATGTTTTGACCAAGTAAACTGAATACAAGATGTGTTCCACTCAAGCGCTCGATGTTTCGAGTGACTCTTTTCCAAGAAAAATTGTGTTCAACCGTGTTCGATTCGAGTGTACTATGCTTCATCCGACACGGAAGCATTGGACCAAAATTAACTATATTGCAAGTCTTGATTTAGGCTTGATATGATTCGAACGTCTCGACCCAAATCGAGTATATTTGACTCTGGTCGATCAAAATAAAACTAATTTGTAATTGTTCGACAAATCAAATTTTTTTGCCATATACCACAAAAGATGAAAATTGCGATTGAAGTCGAAATAATGAATAAAAAACTGTAACGTGAAGTCCTTTGTGTTCTGTTTTTCAATGCCTTGTAACAAACACCATTTTTCTAGTTGTGCGAGCTCATTTTGAGCACAGGTTGCAGTATAACGTAAATTTTGCTAAATATGCAGTTTACCCATCGGAAAAATAACGATTATTCAAGTGTTAAACTTGCTTAACACCTGACTGATTTTGATTTTTATCTGTGGGCATGCAGTTTGAATTCAGTGTTTGAATTGCTGGCGTGTCACGGAGCCGAATACCCGTATAGTCAGAAAAAAAATTGTTCACGGATATCCGAAAATTAAATTCGTTCCCGGATAGCCGATAAAAAAGTTCGTTGCCGGATAGCCGAGAAATTCACTTCGGGCAAAACTCTAAAACAATTGATCATTTTAGTCAATTAGATTCTTGCGTTGAATATTATAAAAACAGTATTAGTAAATTATAGCAAAGCGGAAACATCCGAAACACCAAAAACAATAGTCTTTTATACTCCGATTTTTTTTTTTGAAAAAGCAGTTTGCGTGCAGTTATTTTCGTAGTCGGCTGAAACAATTGGTTTTGAAACCTTGTTAATTTGTTTCATTCTTCTCTAATATTAAGCATAATTTCGTTCTGGTCGCTTGCATTGCCAGTAAGAAGAGCAAACACTAGCGGAATCTTGCGGTTTTCAAAACCACCAAAAACATTATAAATTTGAAAGCAGGGGTTTTGGCGCAGTCTTGAAAATAGCGTAACACAAAATAGTTTCCCGCGAAAGTAGCCGTTCTGCAACATGTATTTTTTTGGTGGAATTGCGGAAATGCTGAGTGAAATGGCGAGCGGAAATGCGGTAAAAATTATTTTCGAGCGCGAGAAAGAAATGATCGCAAACTGTTGCATGGAACTATTATGTCGTGATTGAATTTTGCGATCGTTTTTTTTTGAGCCATTTTCCTTGTTGCGCAAGATATTTTCTCATTTCTTTAAAAACTTTTTGAAATGCTTTTCTTTTAGTTGCTGATTGGTTCGTAAGAATGATTTGGATATGATGGTGATTCAATCCGAGTTAAATTTGAACTAAACGTTACACGGTTTTTGCAAGTTTTGTCGGAACAGGTAAAGTAAATATTAGTTGATTTGTTTTTCCAAAAAGTAAGCCTTCAATTACTAGAATTTGACAGTTGGGTTGTGAGCTAGGTTTTTGGTGGCTGCTCGTCTGCGAAAATTGAGGAATTTTATCGGCCAATCAAACTTTGTGACGAATTGCGATTTAGCGATTTTAGTTAAAACTTGCGATTTTTAGTTTTTTCGGCTATCCGGTAACGCGGCATCGTGGGTGCACAGCATTGAATTCAGCCCAAGAAACGAGGACTTGAAAAACAGAAGAAAGTTTGAAATGGAACAAATCATTGGATTCCATTTCTTTTTAAATGATCCTGCCTCTAAACAAAAAAGTATGATGTACCAACTACTTGTCGTTTAGCCCAATTCATAATTGAAATTATTTTGCCGACTGTCGAAGAAAAGGGATATCTAGGTTTGTGATTTTATTTCTGGCGATTGAAATACTAATTTTTAACAAAAAAAATTCATGCTTTAATGAAGATTTTGGCTCCCTGAAATCAAATTTTAAAATTACATATTTTACCTCCAATCATTTTTGCAAAGTTCTGATATTGAATCATCGACATCAAATTTTATAACAAAATATGTTTTACCTCAAAATTTTTTTTGCAAACTTTTGGCCAATTTGGCCATGCTCAGGACTAATTTATGCGCACTTTGACAATTTTATCCAAAATCATGAAAGAAAGCGTAACGCGAAATATTCATGCGTGGCGAATTATCCCGCAAAACCGAATCGTTCCTAATTGAATTGAGGCTAGCTAGTCGATCGTATTAATTTTGCACGACTTATACTTTTACACTTGATCTTTGATATTGTCCAGAATTTATAGTTTTTCAAAATTTTCCTTTCCCAGAAAACTACTCGATAACCATTAGGGTGCAGTCAGAAGATTAAGGGCTTTGCCCTAATATACGAGCAGTCTTGTTCGTATCAAGGTCGAGCATTGGTTTTTCTTTCTAAGTCTGTATGTTTATTGAAAATAATCAGTTAACACTTAAAAAAGTCATATCAAAAATTTTTTTATCAAAAAAAGATCTTTTCTCAGATTATTTTGATTCTCAGATTATTTTGAAGTCGGTAGCTTTTCACACGCTGTGTAACCTAGAAATCAATTTGTAATCTTGAACGTTTTACGTGTTTAACGCATTTTTGACATCAAAAATTTTTCTCAAGCCTCTCTGAATTAATTTTGGAGCTCGATTTATCTCGTTGTTTAGGTGTAAATGGGACACAGATTATAGAAAGTACTTTAAATGTCCGAAGTTGGTTAGTCTTCGAACACGGAACACGGTGCTTCCGTTTTTTCAGATGGAATGAATTGGTTGCAAGTCACTACCTAAACTAATTTTATGAGCGGCACCACTAAAACCATTTGTATCCAGATTTTTTCGCGAAATCTAATTTTTGTTTTAGTTTAGCAGCGAGTTCGGCAACTTCGACAAATAGACTCAGCAGGCCCTGTAGTATATGTACAACAATTTTTCGTCAAACAGTTGAATTTCATGCCTTTTAACACCTTGCCATTTAACTCCGCAGCATCTTCACTGCAAAACAATCAAATACATTCGCATTGAGTTTAACCTTCAATTTGTTTTTCATTTAGAATGATTGTGATGGTGTTTTGACTTATTTAAGTATTAAACGAGCAAGACTGCTCGTATTAGGGCAAAGCTTTGAATGTTTCGGCTGCCTTTTAAGGTCTATGGAGCAGTAATAACATAAAAAAATTGAAAGTAAAAAAATGAAAAATTTTATACACGAGATGTTTGATACTTTGTGAAATCATCCCATCACACGCTATATAAAGTATAAAGTGATAAGTTTCGCTCCTTGTAACAAATCAATTAAGGCAAATAAGCTTCTTTTAACCAATTTGAAACAAATTCTGAGACACATAAAATCTCCTCTTACGCGTTGTTAATAGCGCGAAATATATCGCGCTATCGCGCGTTATTTGTCCCAAACTGGCCAAAAGGCCAATCTTTAAACCCCATAACTTTACGAGAAATGATCACAAGTGAAATAATTTTTAAAATTTAAGCTCAGGACAACAATACCTTTCGAATGATAAAAAAAATTCTGTTAAAAAATGGCTAGTTACAAAACCAAAATTTGTCTGAAGAAAAAAACCACCTCGCGCACAAATTTTCCGTAACTTTCGTTACGAAAGGCGGAACAGTTGGTGAGGTTTTGTGCATCAATAGCAATTTGTCATTATTTCTTTGTTTGGTTAAATAGTGACCAAACAGTTAAAAATATCAAATTAAGCGCCAAAAACCCACATTAGGTCCAATGTATTTATGAATCAGCAGGAATGTCCATTATAGCTTGTAAAAAACCAATTTTAAGGACGTCAGATAATACTCTTTTTTTTAGTAAAAAAAAACGATTGTGTACCAAAAATTGGCTTTTTGCAGAATATTAATTGCAAATTATCTTGCTACAAACGTTACACTGAATCGTTAAACTAAGCTGCAAGCTAAATTATAACACTATAAAAATCAATTAAGATGCAAAGGTTTCCTAAAAATTGCAAAAATTGAATTGAACCAAACCTAAGTTTGGCTTTCGGGATTGTCAGCTGTTTACCTTGACGTGAAGCTGCGCTTCGCAAACCCTAGCAAAAACACGAAAAAACGCAGCTTTATAAATTGAAATAAGAACAGATAGAAATAGGCCTCGAATTAATAAAAATTTGCTACGCATGCACTTTGAATCTGCGCCCGCTAGAATTGTAGTCTCACGCCCTGCCCTCTCGGCCACGAACACTTAACATCCGGCAAACACTTGTCACAAATAAAGCAGCAACATATGCTAATGAATTGCCAATGCTATGCACCCGTACCCAGTAAATGTTCTAGTTCAGATCTGAAATAATCTGTTTCAGATCTAAACTTGAAATCTGGAATAGGATGTAAAATGCTAAGAAAATGCTTGGATATTTTTAGTATGGGTTATTTCAGATCTAAAATGTGTTATGTTGTTTTTCTGGGTTATTTCAGATATGACAAATCTATTTTAGATCTGAAATTTTGTTTTTCTTGGTTATTTTAGATTTGGTCAATTTTAGCTATTGTTCTGTTTTTGTAGCTTCTGACAGCTGCTAGCATGTACTCAGGAAAATCTGCATTTGAAGACTACTGAATATGTTTGCGTCGTTTTTCAAAGCTAATTCAGATCTGACAATATCTATTTCAGATCCAAATTTTAGGTCAGAAAGTATCAATTTCTTCTCAAGAACTGAAACAACGATTTTCAGATCTGAGAATCAAATTATGTTAGAAATAAAGAATTTCAGATCTTGTTTATAAAATCCGCTGGGTACTGGCAGCAAAAAAGGCACCAAATACAAGTGGACTCAATTAGTTTGGAGTATAACAGACTGAAGGCATCCAAACTAGTTTTGCATGTTATAAATTGGAAAGCATAAAACCAAATTATGCATAACTTATGATTTTCAAAAAACTACGAAATATATTGAAAAAGAAAATTTCTGAAAACGAGTTTTTATGATTGTTATGATGTTTGAAACAAATAGCTTTTTTTGGTTCATTCAATGAATACAAAATACATCAACTGTGTTAACTTTTTAATATTCGAATGTCAAAGCTTATGCTAACAAAAAGCCGTGAAAGTGTCCAAAAAGTGGCACCAATATCCGCGACTTAGGCTAGAAAAAGAAAAGAATTGTAGTATTATAACACACTAAAGCTCACTAAAGTTTGCTAGTGCAATTAACTCAACCCACACTATATCGAAACAATTTTTTTAATACTTTTTATGGCTGATTTACCTTGTCGGCGTAAGTGAGCGTATTTGGTCCGTTTTCCTTAGGGTTGAAGTCAAGGAACTTCATGTTGGTTGGATATGTCAACTCTGTTATGATCATCAGATTCGGAAACAATCTAAAATGTAAGCAAAGAGTCACGAAATAGTAGACGCAAGGATTATTTAATTCGACTTCAGTTTCTCACGGAAATTGAGTCAAAACTAAAACCAGCTCTCTAGATTCTCGTTATTTTGTTTTCATTTGGGGGTTCAGAAAATTTTTACCGGTACTAGTTTTTGACAACGTTTTTAGTGGCATTAATTATTTAAAATGAAATTTGTTTGTAATCGATTGTTTTTCGTTATCGTTTTATACCAGCAGCAATAGAGTATGAGGTGCATGCTTTGTAAGTTCAGTACGATAAAAATAGCGCCAGTTTGGTCCTCTTTTAAAATGAAATTTTAAATAGAAAATGAATAATTAATTTTATTACTGAAACAAAATTGGTCGCTATTTTCATATTTAATGTTGTAGCATGCATATTTATTTCAAGATTATTTAAAACAATGGCAAAAGAGTAGAGTAAAGTGTGTACTTTTGTATGGTCTGCACAGCCACGATGGATGTGCTGTCGGCCAAGTAGGACTCCGAGGCGGCCTTGCTGCTCTCTCTGTCTGACACAATGAACGCCTGTGCCTCACTTATTCCTGCACGGAACAAGTCATTCAGGCTGCAAACGAAAAATGTAGTTCTTTAATTACACCCCCACCTGTGACTTTTACTAAATGAAAGTTGGAATAATATTGCGTGTCTGTTTGTGGAACATTGGCATGCACAGTAATTACCAAACTCCAAACAATTTTGATCTTCATACAGAACAACGTTGTAATATCAATGGTTCAAGCAAAAAGTCTGTTTTGTTTTGGAGGAAGGGGGAAAGAACAAAGCCAACACTGCAAAATATCACAATTATTGAACATCTTTACTTTCAAGTCCAATTCTACGTCAATAAATACTTTTAAGTCTATTTGGGTCTAAATCAGAGAAGGACGGTTTTTTTTACCAAGAGCGGTAGGTAAACCATTTCGGTTTTTGGAGCTCTTCCGAAGCTCTAGAATTACTTAAATTTCACCCCACATAATTGAAACTTCGATCCCATAATTGACAGAAGAGATCCCTGCTCACGCCCATCTTCGCGTCTAGTCTACTGGGGAAACTTTTTGGTGTTAAAAACCGCAGATGCTTCTCGAAATGATATCGCCGCTGAAGAAAATACGCTGACAAACTGTTGACATTAAGAATGACAATGTAGTATATATTAGTGTGTCGTCTTAGAGTGTAGTCAATTTTAAGGCAATTTTATGGCAAAAACAATAGATTTTATTGCAATTTCAGGGCGAAAAAAAAAGATTTTATTGAGATTATATGGAGATAAAAATAGATTTTAGTGAAATTATAATGCAGTATAATGGGCATGAAAATAATCCATTTTTTTTTCAATTATAATAAACTGCCTAAATTGGTTATACATATTCGATTATGGCAACATTTACGCAAAATTTTTTCAATATAATCTATTTTTATCCGAGAAACTTCGGTGCGGGTACTGACTTGTCTAGTTTTCCGATGCAGTAGTAGACTTCGGGGTAGCACGAGATGGCAGTCAGGACATTGACGTCTGGCTTGAACTCACACATGATGATGATGGGACTCAGCTTGTCAATGGATCTCAAGTGGTGTCGCAGGGGCACTATGAAGTTGGCGATGGCAGCTGTCATGTAGTCCACTGAAATCAAATCATGCTCACTCGCAAAACACTTTATAATAAAACTACCTTAAACTACATTCAAAAACCTTCTACTGTAAATTTGCACCTTATCAAGTTTTCATTAGTACCATTAAATGCCCTGAACATCTCAAAAAGTAACTCAGAAATTAGACGACCTTAAAAACGCCTGATTTTTCTCTTGATTTCTCTTTTAAAAACACCTGGATTTCTCTGTTAGTTGTTGAATATGAGTACCGGAAATGATAGTTGGTTTGTCTTTGAAGTCGTATTCGAGTGCGTTTGTGTGGGGACAGTGCTGGCATGGTTTGAACACATCCAGACAGCAGGAGGCTTTCGACTCCTTCAGCACGTGGCAGTGGGGAGACGTGAACCACTGGTAGGCTGGAGTGGGGAACCCTTGAACTATGCTACAGAATGCAAACAGGGAAATTATTTTTAGTGTTACAGGGGTGTTGATTAAGTGGCTAACGTCTACACCTCTCAGACAAAAGGTCGTTGGTTTGAGACTCACCAGCATCGGTGCTCATGGCTTAAGGGTGAGTCAAAAATCGAGAAAAAAAACTAAAAAGGGGGTGTAAAAAAATAACTTAGCTGAACAAAACAACTCAGTCTAGAACGTGGGTAAGTAAGCCAAATAGAATATCCTTAGACAGGTCTTGCTAAGGCATAATGATAGCTCCTCTGCGCTTTGCAGGAGCCACAGTTTTTATATAGTTTTGACAAAAAATTAACAGACTACTCAATTAGCGTTACTCAAAAAAAAATCAATAATTTTTTTCTAAAAGTAAATATAAAAGTATGCTGGTGTTGTTGCAGTTTGTTCTGAATGATAAGTGAACCGTTTTCTTAAATTACAAGTTAACGCAAACTCACTTGTCTCGAAATGCACCTGTCTTCTGTTTCTGCATGTCGACATTTTCCAGAACGGCCTCGACGTCATCTGAAAGTGAAATCAGAGATGGAAAAATGTATTACAATTGTTTGTTTATAACGCAATTTTATCACAATTCTTTGATTATTGCTTAGGTTGAAAAACGAAAAAACTATAGTTTGAATGATTGAAGTTTTACAATTCAAAATTAAAAAAAAAACATTGTCGGGCATTTCAGTTGCAGACATGATACTACTATGAAAAAATGGTCCATTGAAAAAACCAGGTCCCTTGAGAATACCACACACTAAGATACCTAGAGCTCTCAGATCGATTAATAATTCTGATTTTGCCATTCAGGAAGATCGTATTAGAATATTTTCAAACAAATTTTATGTTTTTGAACTTCGTGAAACCTCACCCATCACTATTTTAAGGTAAAAAATTTAAAACAATGCCAAAATTGAGTTTATGTGACAAATGAGTGAGTCCACTTATGGTTGTTAAACCGTAAAACAAGCTGAAGTGAGCATATTTTTTGATATAAACAGTATATTAAGTAACAACTGTTAATCTGAAAAATTTCTGAAGCAACATATTTCGCGAGGTTTTTGAAATTAATAATTTATACACAAATAGTTTTTAAAACTATAACATGCAAAATGAATGCGGGACCTGTCTATCATAATTTCTTTTTCGCGGTAACACTCTATAATAGTAATACCGGAGAGATTTTTTCTGAAAAATAACAAAATGAAAATAATATATCTACAAAAGAAATAATACAGTGAGTCTGAAAAAAGGGAGATATTCGGTTAGATCTTTTTGTAGCAATCTAATTTTGAAAAAAAATTTCAAAAAGTAATAAAAATGCATTCCTTGTTTGAAAAAATAAACAACCTTTCGCCGACCGATAACCGAAAATGCCAAAGCGCCAAAAGTTGCGTCTCTTTACGCAAAATTTTGACCAATTAGCTTGCCTCAAGTTGTGCATGATTTATGGACCAAAAAATTTGCCACTTCTAAGCTAAGAATTAGAATACACCATTTTTGCGCTCGACAATTATCCTTAATTAGTTAAACTGGCAACTTTCAAATCTGTTTTTAGCTAAAACATGTGTTTAAACCTTAAACTCATGTTTTAGCCAAAGTTTCAGAAAATTTAGGAAGCAAACAAGTTTGAAAATTGCCTGTTTAACTAATTTAAGATAATTTTCGGGCAAAAAAATTGACTTTGTGAACTCAACGCTTACAGTCGGCGAATTCTTCTCCAAACAAATTTCAATTTTATGATTTAATCAGCTAATCATTTGCTACAAAATTTGCTTTCTGCAGAAAATTATAACAGGTTTGATTATTACAAATGCAAAACTTTGTAACAAATGGCTAGTTAAAAACATCACACAATTGAAATTTGTTTGGCGAAGAAAGACCATTTTTTCAAAATTAGAACCGAGAAAGATAGAACCCATTATACATATTAGAGCAAACAGAAGCATTTCCGTATTTGTGGGTAGAAATAGAAGTGGCCGAAGTATTTTAACTAAAATATCTTAAAAACTTTTGCGGAATTTTTCGATCTTAAAAAGAGTTGTTATGTATTTTTCCCGTACTATTTGTCGCTGTTCAAATAGTGGCAGATTTCTACTTTGACCGATAGAATGTATAAATAATACACCACTAGATGCTTCAAAAACTGCTCATGGATACTGCAAAAACAAAAAAGGTAAAACTACAACTATGACGAAGTTAACGCAATTGTATGAGTTTGCTGGTCGCAAAAATTTGTAATTTTCCGCTAACTATTGTAATTTTTTGCTATGATAGATGAGAATATTTGGATAGGAGTACTTTAGCCATTTTTTATTTAGCCCTTAGTAATTTTGACACAGAGATTAGCATCAATTTCGATACAAAAAGTATAGAATAAAAACTGCAAGAAAATAACAAAAAAGATTTGGAATGCTGTCAACATTGACAAAGCAATAGAAAAAACGAAAAACTTTGATTTAAAAAAATGTCGAAAATTAATGTAAGGTACAGAGGCGAAGCTGCACTTGCGAGAACACGACAAAAAGCAGCTTTATCATGTAAAATCAGAAAATGTAGAAACAAGCCTGGAATTAGCAAAAGCTCGGCTGCGTGTAGGCTTCGAACCTGCGACCAACTGCAATCAACAGATTTTAGTCTCACGCTCTATCCCATCAGCAACGCAATCATAACAACCGACAAACACTAGTCACGAACAAATCTGCTACATAGGCTAATAAATTGTCAATGCCATTCAGCAAAAGAGGCACCAAATATACATAAACTCAATATTTCAAGTGATAATTTGGAATATAACAAACGGAAGGCATCCACACAAACTTTGCATGTAACAAATTGCAAAGCATAAAGCAACATCATGTTTAAATTGTGCATTTCAAAAAGTTGAAAGTTATATTGAGTTAGAAAATTTCTGAACTCGAGTTTTTAGTATTGTGATGTTTTTTTTTAAAAAACAAAAGGTTTTTTTTCGGTTCATTTGATGAAATAAAAATGCATCAACTGTGTTAAACTATTACTATTCTAATGCCAAAGCACATGCTATTAAAAAGCTGTAACAGTGCCCCAAAAGTGGCACCAATATTTGCGACTTCGGTTGGAAATAAAGAAGGTTCGTACTAACACACCAGCTTCTCAAGTGCAAACATTAGATATAACATTGAACAATAGCTACCACCATGAGTAGCCAAATGTAAGGTTTTAGTTTTCACCAAATGGAACATGTCAGCATTGAAGCAGTACAGATTATTCAAGTTGTTTGGTTAAACAAGTTTTTAACCCGAATAAAGTCTATAAAAAGTCTTAATCGAAAGCGTAATGAACATTGAGAATTACCACATTGCATTTTCATTTCGAAAAAAAATTGAATCTCATCGAATAAGTATTTTGAAACCTCAAAATGCCAGTGAAATGAAGTCGTAAGCAGAAATTCTTAATATCTTTCATAAAACTTAATAAAGGTCCTATTTTGATTAAATTCCTGCGCCCCAGGCAAATTTTTGCAAAAAAGAACGTTTTTAGGCAAGTTTGGTAGGTTTTTTGGCCCCAAAAATTGCGTTTTTTGAAAAATATTTTGTATTGGCGGTTCTAGAAAAAATTGTTTTGGTTGGCTGAAAATTAATAACGAGGGGGAAGTTAATACTAATGGGGGAAATTTGTATGGCGAGGGATCCACTACTAGGAGAGGTACAGTATCGAACATTATTATCATGCGAATGCAGAATGTTTTGTTTCAAGGTTAAAATCTGTCGGATGTGTATTTTGCCTTGTGAGTTAAGATCTTTTTCAGAAATTAACCGGGAAAAAAAATTGTTTGACGTTGATTGTGAGTAGCGCCTTGCCATATTTCTTGCTTTACTTTTGAAGCGTCTGAGGAATACACAATATACATTTAGAAGTTGTTTCACGAATGCTTAAGCTCATGATATTTGGATAACATAACTTTTTGTATTTGAACTAATATTTCAACTTTTTTACCCAAAACACTCAAAATTTTTAAAAAGCAGCCAGACCTTTGCACTGATAAGATCAGGTTATGCTAAATACTACCGTGAGCAATTATTATTGTGAGCAATTATTATTGTGAGCAATTATTATCGTGAGTAACAGATTTGAGAAGTTGTTAAAATCAGATGTTATCAGCTCAAATGGAAAAAAAAATGAAAAGTGAGCAATGGGTTGTGCAGATAAATAAGCACAAAACTGACTTTTTAGATCAAGTTGAATAGAATAATGGGAAAGTAAATTAGAATGGAAATCATTCAAGTGTATGCGTATTCCTTTTTTGTTTGGATAAAAATAACATCCTCCCTCTAAGTAGACCAACTTAAGATCATTCTTCCACCCCAGCGTTCAACTTAAGCGCTGCATGTGAAATTCTCTACTCTGATTGGCTGAAAAAATGAACTCAGAGCCAAGTTAACCATCTCCCCTTGGTTAACGGCTTTGGATTCCTTGTTGTTTGGATGGTGATGCAGAAAACTTACCTATGTAGTCGGCAATGGCTGAAACAGTCTAAAAGTTAACATCACATAATTGCTGTCGCGAAGAATATGAAGGTCAAACACTGTTAATGACAAACGGATAGCAAATAAAATACCCTGAAAAACAAAAAAAAAGAAAGTCTTCGAACTCTTTTTTATTTCGTGATGTCTGGAAAGATTTTTCCGATAGTCATGCTTATTAAAACCACAATTTCATCCTTGAACATGTGATTGAAAAAAGTTCAAAGAAGATGAATTATTTAGATGGCAGAGTTTGATATTATTGACAAGAAGCAAAATTATCCCATACTTTGATAGAAAATCGAAACTAATAAAAATTAATTGCAATTACTAATTGCACGCACAGCACAGCCTTGATCGCAGTAGTGAAAAGTTCGATACTTTCGTTCAAGTAATTTTTATAATTTTGCTCATCTTAAATTCAGTGGTACATTTCATCTCTCGCCGGCACAATGGGTTACTTGATATCTCACACAGAAATTCTGTATTGAATGTTGGGCGAAATAAATTAGAGGTGAAATGTGACACTAATTTATGATGGGCGAAATAGATGGGATGGGGGAGGGGGTTTGATTGCAATGCTCTATCGATGATCAATAATACTCACCCGATGCCTGCTCAGAGATTCCGCTGTCCGCCTGGGATCGCAATCTGGACTTGTTGCTCTCTGAAAAAAAAACGGCTTGTGAAACTTTCAAATTAATATGTTTCACTGATGCTTAAAATAATTCACCAAGTCAGTCAATACTTTTGGATCTCCTGGCTGTTGAGTATTCGACAGAAAGCCTTGTGCTATTCATGTCAATTGTTTAGTTTAGGCCAATTATGCACGAGGGAAAGGGACCAACATACATAATAATGATAATCATTATAATACAGAAGTAAGGATAGCTCCATGCAAAAAATAAGTCCCCGTATGATTGAACTTTAACTGAACTGATTTTGTTCTGTTTAATAGTAGTAGATCGAATGGTAAAATGAAAATTTTTCAGTTTTTAAGATGAGATTTAGTTTATTCAACTTTCTGCATTTCTCACAGAAACAAATAATTCTCCAAGTGCAGAGATCGTTTCGTGAAACGTCGTGATGAAAAATCTTCTTACAGATTCGAAGGAATCTTCTTGACTTCAATTTCAGGCAGCTGCAATTATTCCTCACCGGTTGACTTTATCAGCTAATTTACTAAAATAGTTGTAATGACCCATAACTTTGATCGTGTTTGGTTGTGTTGGGTTTTCCGTACTTGCAGACTATCTTTTGTGACTCGTGTACTGAGTCACAATTGTATTGACTTCGTGTATTGAGATTTCTTGATTCGTCGAATTTTTGCAATTCTTGAGAGTCGGCGTTGTAATAATTCTGATGGATTTCTGCTTATGAAAAAATATTGTGCAGCTCATGGTACATAGATAGAGGAAGGTATTTCAAAAAATTAGTGTTTGCCTAAATTGCCAATAATAATTCGGTAATATCTATTTTGTACTTGTCTTTCGAACATCTTCGATTAATTTTAGATCATTGGGTTTCCAGACGCACGATCCTTACCATACTCTAAGACAATGTAGCTGGAATAGTCGTTAAGCTTTAGTTTCAGATTTGATAAGCCGACTATGTTGCGCTTGTGGAGAAAAAAGGATTCGATTACCTTTTGATCACGTCTTGTAGCGTGTACTGTCCGAAAGAGGTAAGAGATAATTACGCCTAGATCTTTTTCAGTTTCAGGCGGTTCTATTTCATAATTTTTGATGCACATTTAAGTTTGTTCAGTCAATGCGTTTTTGAAAGCGAGGTTATGGCATCTCGACAAATTAGGTTTCATTTGGTTTTTGTAGCATCATTTTCTCAGTTTAGCAAGGTCATTTTGTGATAATTCTGGGTTCGAGGATAGAATTTGATAGTCGTCAACGTAATGAAGGAGCTGTTAAATAGGCCTTGTGGCAGATCATTTATGAATACTATAAAGGATAGAGGCCTAGGGATAGAGCCTTGTGGTACCCCGCTTGTGACTTCTACTCAGTTGGACTTCTCAAATCCAATTCGAATTTTTCCTTTTCGGCCCTTTAGATAGCTATGGAAGAGTTTCAAGAGGTTTCCAGCAAATGCGAAAGGTTTCAATTTTCCATCAGGATTTTTGGGGTACGGTAACGAAATTTTTTTTTTGAAATCGGTGTAAACTACATGAAGACTTTGGGTTTCAGGGTTGTCTCGAATTGAGTACGCTTTGTCTCGATAGATTAACATTGGTAGGGTTGTAGATTTCTTGGGCATAAACCCAAAATTACTTTTTTGATTTTCATGATTGACTCCTGTTGAGATTTTTTCGAAAATAAGTTTTTCAAGTACTAGAAATATTCTAGAGAAAACTGATTGGTTGGTATTTTGATATTAATTGCTTGTTGCTATCTTTGAAGATGGAAATGTTATCGCTTCATTTCCGTGATACGAACTGTATAGCACTTTACGCAAAACCGTCTTTGTATTAGGGTTAAAGCATGCAATTTTTTTTATTACGTGCATGGATTGGTAACAGCTGGCTCAACCTCGAGCAACGAGCACGAATCATAATGGTGCCTCGAGCCCCCGTTTTTAATTGAGGGGCGGCAACCTTAGCCACTTTATCAACGCTCCTCAAATAGACATCACATGCAATTTAAATATAAAATATACTTATCTATGTACCCAGTTTTAAAATACGACCGCCTTTTTAGAACTCGTAAATGTCACTCATACAAACTACTTGAAGTGATCTTTTTGGAATTTGGTTCTTCCCATAAAACTGTTTTCGAACTAATTTGTGGTTTTAAAAGGCTGTACATTGAAACCAATTATGCTTGGATCATGCTAATCAGACCTACTTGACAAGTTTTGTCCCATTTGGACACGATCAACCAACACGTGACAAATAAAATTTCACAGATGGAGAAAAACAAGCCTGAATGTGGCTTCGACTAACTTCCTCGCTGCTTGTCATGCAAGATTGTTCTCTCCGTCTGCACGGTCTCTCTCCTCCCCACAGCTCCCGCTGCTCCCCCTCCCCCTGGCGTGACCTGCCCCAATATGCCTCCTGCAGCAGCTGCTGGCTCCTCTATGATCTTCGTCTCCTCCTCCCCCGTGATGTTGAAGAAGTAGCAGGTGTCCTCAGCAGTGAGGATGTATTTGGGCCCTGGATTCAGCACTATCTTCTTCCCTGCTGGTCTCACTCCAATCAACATACAGCCATATCTAAAACCATTGTGTTTTGCATATGAGCATAAAAATCTAAACTAAGTTCATCTTATAGACTAAACATCCGGAGAAAAACATGCTACAGGTTTGTTAATTTTACTCGCATACTTATTTCATGTTATTTTACCATATCTAAAACAAATTATTAGCTCAAATTTATCACCAGCATACAACATTTAAACTGGCTTAACACCTCAGGGTCATCAGAGAAACACCTGCAAACTAGAAATTGGTGGTTTTATTTTCTATCTAAAACAAGGCTTTACGTGTCCCAACACACCCCCCCCCCCCCCCCCCCCCACCCCACCCCGACACTTGGTCTTCGTGTTAACAATACTATTTTTATTTTTGAAAAAAAAGTTGGCATGAAAATTATACCCAGTTCCGAATACATTTGGTCTGAATACATTCAGTTGTCATAGAAAACTAACTTCTGTCTGTAGTCAGAAGACAGTAGAAGAGTCCCAAAATAACATTTATTCAGACCACTCACTTGCGGTGGGATACCATGGCGGCATGTGTGAATGAGGATCCGACGAACTCGTGAAAGAACTTGCTGCAGTCCACTCTCTTGTCGTAGATCTCCTGAGCTGTGCTCCGCCCGAACAGCCGCTCCCACTCCTGACTAGCCTTGCTCACGTCTCTACATTCAAGAGATGTACCATTAATTTTTCTTATATATCTCAAATGTTCTCACTTTTTTACCCCAAGATTTCATATTTCCCATTTTTACAGTTGTTTAACGAGTTGTTATGACTAAATGTGTGATGTTAGGAGTACAGCCCCTTATTCTTATCGCGGGAGAATAAATGGCAGAAATTTTTCATCCAATCGAAAATTTTTAAACTTTCCAAAACTCTGATTGAAATGAAGGGTTTTCTTTGAAGTTTCTGAATGAGACAAGTTTGAGGATTGAGGAGAACAAAATTAGAAGAAAAAAACATGATCATCTGACGATAAGTACATCTGACGATAAGTTTTGAAGCCATGTAATTTCCCTTGTCAATAAATCGTCTTAATTTAACTTAACTTAATTCTATAGCTTTTAAGAATTAATTCAAGCTGTTTAAAAAAAGTTTTCAAAGTTGAATTCAAATTTGGGAGAAAATAGCCGAGCGCGCTCTCTCTCCCTCTCTCTCTCTCTCTCTCTCTCTCTCTCTCTCTCTCTCTCTCGTCTCTCGTACCTGCCCTCGAGGGTGTGAACGAGTAGACTGATGTAGGTGGACATGGCGGGACAGATGCAGTTGCTGGCCATCAGGGCATACTTCAGTTCTTCCTCACAGATGACGTAGTCTGCGAACTGCACGTGCACCTTACTCTCCGGGTTCAGAATCTGCACGAACAGGGGACAGTGGGGGGCGAAATCGTTGATGGACCATGCACGCAGAATTGTGGCCTCGTCCTGAACACAACAAAATACTTCAGCCTTCACCTATCTTTCTCACTCTAGCCCTCACCCCCCCCCTCACACCGGCAAATTAAAGCCTCACAAATCACAAAAATTGTACTATGTCGGATTTATTACTTTTTAATACGAGGATGTGGGGCTATAATGGGGAAGCCAACATTCATAGCATGAAATCAACTATACTAAGTCTGAAAATTTTTATCTCTGCAATGAAAACTTAGGTCAATAAAGTACTTTGACAATTTTTTTTCCAATAACAGAAAACACTAGAGGACTTCGGATTGACCGCCATACACCAGAAATGTTACTCATATAGGTTCATATATCGATTGTGTTAAAAAAAAGGCTAGTCATACAATTCTAATAAATAATCTATCAAAAAAATTTCTCAAAAAAATCTTCTCATTTTTGGTCTCAAAATAAGTTTTGTAAATTTTATCCAAAAAAATTGCATGCAAACTTATACTTTATTACCTTTAACAAAGGCCAGTTGCTCAAAAAACTTTAAAAAAACTGTCCAGGTTTGCTTTTATGTATTCAACGGAATTATATATTTTTAATTATTGGTACGAAACATTTCGGATTTCGGCTATTTAGGTTTACCGCGGTAAGAAACGTAATTTCGTGCAAATTCTCCAAATTTCTTCAATTTTCAGTTACAAAATCAACCTCTTAGGGCAATTTCAAAGAAAACGGCATTAAGTCAGATAATTCTACTTAAAACAATTTGCTTTTGCTGCAAGACATTTCCACATTACTGATTTTAAAAGTGTTTTCATATCAAAAATCAGCATAATAACTTTAATAAATAAAAAAAACTACATCATATAATGATGTTGAGAAAATCAAAACATAATCTGTATATAATATGTATTTACTCCGAACAAAATCTGTAGATAATCTGTGAGTAATCTCTAACTCATCTGTATATAATCTGTATAAAAAATTGTGGAACCTGATCCAAACTACATTTTATGATTGAATAAATTAGATATTTTACCACTGTAAAGCATTTAATATTAACCAATCATGATCCATCTAACTAACAACCCACTTATTTGTAAGTGCTGAAATTACTTGTAATTTCAGCACCAGAGAGATTTGAATTTAACTTAGAAATTAGTTGTCTCTCCAAGAAAACTTCAACAGCCGGAACAAACCAGTATACCCTAGATCTATTGAGCCTAGCAGAGACTAGTTAAACACCCTGAGACTAGAAAGTATAAGAGTAAGATTAGGATCGGTATTAGACTAAGAAGTTGCACGAATCTATCCGGCCGAAAATAAGATAGCGTGACGAGCAGACGGTGTACCCTATCCGAAATTACTCTATGAGTTAACCACATCGGTCTTAACTCATCTGGTGCGACCATAAGTCTCAAATAAGACCTTAATAGCTTAGAATTAACCAAAATATAGATTAGAATTTAGACAAAACATTTTTAAAATGTTATACGACAATAATTTAATCGAAATGTCTCTACGACTCAATAGATCAGAGCCGATATTCCGAACGATAACAGAACTACCCGGAATTGGAAGAAGACCTCGAACAATAGACGACATACAACAAAGTAGAAACTTACCAAATAGTGTTATGATCGTACGGCAAAAGCCAACACAAACTTTTATATTTAGAATCTTATTAGCAATGAATTTAAATTTTCATTCGCAAACATAAAATTTTGAAGTCAATCTTCATGATAATTTCAGGCGCTAAACAAAATTATTAATATACAATAACGATTGATAAAAAGATCTCAGATCGTTTTCTTAATTTCTGCAGTCTTATATAAAACATGTTTGAACAATATTTATTGAAAATGAAAATAAAAATTAGTAGCATGACAATAAATTGTTAGTAATCATAAAATCATCTGTTGTTCCAGCTTTATCACCTAAACATAACAGCAATCATAAATTCACTAATATCATTGAAAAACTAAATCTTTTTCTTAAATAAATTTAAACAATTTTAAACTTAAATTTTCACTAAATTTAAAAAAAACAGATCATCAAGGCTTATCCTTGGATCTTAATTAATTTTCTTTTTCACTAAATTTAAAACCTGATCATCAAGGCCTATCCTTGGATCAAAAAGAACAATTTTGTTCTCCCCCACTCACTTAGCAAGTATCTAACGACCTCAAACGTCGATTCACTATCCAACCCTTCCACACGACCCAAGATTAATAGAAATTTTTAAATAAAACTAACCATTCAAATTAAGATAAACAGTGAAGAATTTCGGTTGTTCATCCTTCACTTGAACCCTCCTCTTACCAGACCCAGGATAAATCTTAGACTTAGTAAGTTTAAAATAGTATCTAACGAACTACTTGCGTTCTAATTATACCTGAACCTTGTGGATCGATTTACTATTCTTCAACCCTTGAACACAATCACTACCCCTAAGTAAGATTAAATAAGTTAACACCTTAGCTTAGACTAGCCACGAGAAAGTAAAAAATCATTCTTCGGAATTGATATACTTTTCTCTCCAACCCTGAACAAAAAGACCCAGGTTAAGCTAACCAAAAAATCGTAAGGACTAACATTCTAAGAAAAAAGAAATCACCTTACAACTTTTTGCATCCCTCATCCTAAACCTTATGTCATTCAAAAATCTAGGAAATAAACAAACAATCGTTTTACACAACTGCGAGATAGATAACCAAAAATACGACCTTGTAATCACACCTCATACACAAGCAGTTGGATACATTAGAACAAAACGACTAACAATGAAAAGAAAAATAATAAACAAACAAAGACAAATCACACGAAAAAGATTTTCAAAAAATAGAAACGCATTTTCAGAATCAGAAGCCAGCAATTTAGATGAACTCTACAAATTAAAGGAATCAATTGATAAAAATTGTCCCATTCACGATCAATTATATTTTTCTGATTCAGAAACAACTTCAAATTCATCAAAAAGAGGAAAAAGAAGAATAAAAAAGCAATATAAACACAAACCAGTACACTTGTATAATTGGAATCAACCAATTAGACACATCGATAGTTATATATTAACAGTCATTAAACGAAAAAATGAGCCACAGCCACACTCGAAGTGACGATAGTCCAGATGACGAAGAGGTTTACCCCTTCCTCATAGATGCACCCGATAATAGAGGGCAACATGACTTTTGCAAGAATTTACTCTAAAATTTGTTTGAACCCGGAATCAGCCCATGCAAAGCAGAATTCCCAGATGTAAAATTCAAAAGACAAATTATTGAACATTATCTGAAAGATATATGTAATTTAACACAACAATACGGAATCTACACCATAGAATTCGGCACACCAAATCCGAATCATCGGAAATATGTAATTCAAACAGACGATCTTGAATTAGAATTTTCAAAAGTATTCTTAGAATATATTGAAAGCATACAAAATCATAATTCACAAAGAGCAAACTCCATATTCACTAACGAAGTTTTTGCAATAATATATACCTATATTTCTATATTGGAAAAAACAGAATTTCATATTATCTCACCAGCTGAAACATCCAAACATACAAAAGTACGACAGGAAATCACATTGTTTTCAACTTTCCTACATATAATCAAAGAAAATTTCACTAAAGACGATGTTTCACAACACACAAAACGTGACTTACAAAAAATTTTGGCATGGTTTATAATAGATTATTTCACACATAATATAGACTTAATTTCACAAGCAAGAAAAAATTTCAGACCTCAAAATCCAAATGATGATACTGCCATTACAGAACAGTCAGACTACGTTTGGGACCCTGAATGGTCTCATCATGCATTTATAAACATTCCACTATCAATCTCAAGTCAAGCAATAACTACAATATCTTACCAAAGAGATTATGTAAAAGTAGTACCACTAACCATTGATGCAACAACATTAAACTACAACACATTTTACCCGATACACGAAATAACAGTTTAAATTCGACCGTCATACATAATGAAAACCTTAATGGAACTAGAAATCTTACGCAACAAGATAACCAAACACCATCACACTTCATAAATGAAGAAATTGTCCAAACAACAACAACTACACAACAAAGTATTTCACCAATACATCCAAATTTAACAACACCAAAAAATACAAATAGTTCATTGGCACAAGTAACCTTACAATCAACCGTTAAACCTTCGGTTGCTCCAAAATATTCACAAATGGATTATCAAACATGTAGACCTATGACAGTACCATCAAAACCACGAAGAACGTTCACAAGAAACACTTTTGCAGAACATAATTCTAATTATGCACATTCATCAAAAACAAACTATCCCCCACGAAAGACTAATAATAATCATGTGTGTTCTCACTATTGGGATAACCCAATAACAACAACCAACTCAGTAAATTTTCGGACTAATTCACATCCTCCACAGGACCATAGTGAAAATTATCCATTCTTTCAACAAAATAAAAATAAAAAGCAAGCACCTCATCAAACGGTTTACTTATCATCTGATGATGATTATTTACAACCAGACATTTTTGCACCATATACCCAATAATATCGCAAACAAGGATCGCGACGACCTCACACATATAATAGAATTTTTTCTCCAAATCCAACAGATACACGAAGTCAACAACCAATCCATATGTCAAATCCAATAAATACACAATCTTTTCAACCAATTCAACCACAAAACCCAATGACTATTCACTCGTATCAACCAACTCAAATGCAAAATGAAATACCACTCCCATATTACCTTCAGCAACACGAAATAACAAAAAATCAACTTTCAAATTTTTCGCAAATGCCAAACGCCGCAGAGTCACTACAGATGACAATGAATCCATACCTTATGGGTGGATCATCAATAACATCAAACAAACCACTAATGGTATTCACAGGAACAGACCCTGAATATTCTGTAGAAGATTATTTAAACGCAGTAACAGCAAATTTTATTTTAAATATAGGACCTGAACCAATTAATACGCCACTACATCAAAATTGGATACATCGACGC